ACTTTGTATCTCCCACTTCCATCCCTAATTATCATTATCTATCCATATTAAGATATTGATTGATAACCTATTCAATAATCTAAGTTAATGTCAATAGATTTAATAGGGCGTCGATTAGTGGCAATGAATATTAATAACATAAGATAGTGGCAGCAATCAATCAATCAATGCGGAACTTTATCAACATCATGAGGACTTCTAATAATCATCAACAATCCATTAAGTAGGACAGATTATTTGATCATCAAAGTCAATAAAATTATATATAAGACTACATTGAATCTAATTCATTGATCAACATCTTGCACTGTACAAATAGAAAATGTCCATTAACATCGTAATAATAGTTTAATAAGGTCTATTAATATCCAAGCTCTACATTAAAGAATGCATTATTGTTCCACTTCCCTACATTAAGTCAAAATTAATTTGTTATTAATCTATCGAACTTATACTAGCCTTTCATATAGCTACCAATAATAGGATAACAATCCCATTCGTTTTTTATCGTTGTTCCTTAGTGATCAAAGAATGAAGCTATTTGAATTCGTTTCAAACTGTTTCATTGCAATTAAGCATATACGATTACAAAATTAGTCATATTATAGCTCGTGGTATGTTACCTTTTAAATGTACAATAGTAAGGATTAACGTTATAGTACATGGTTACAGACAATTAATGGTTATTTGCAGAGATGGGCTAGAATTTAAGATGGACAAATTTTCTTTTCTATATCAAGTGAAAATATTACGCTACGCTGTCAACGAGAATCATATTGTATAACGTCTGTCTTGATCACGGTCAACATAATAGAGACTTTGAGTTAACATAACGATTATTAGTTAGATTTTATTTCTCTGCTTAGTATTATATCGTTCAACCAAATTTTAGAAATTACATCCCAGTGTGAATCAATATTTGACACTTAGTCATGGATGATAGTTTTCATTCCATCATGATATTGATGCCGTGTCAATTACTGTGCAAAGTGATTTCGACGATTCTCAAACTGGTGACTAAAAATACAGGAAAATCATTATGGAAAAGTTTAATAATGCTCTGTGGTCAGCCAATACTGTTTCTTTCTGCAATCATACAGTGAATCGCTTTTAACTGTAATTTTATTCGCTATTATGCAGAATCGAAGAATGATTCATCAAAATGGTAGATTGCGCCCAAAACCAGTGAGATAATTAACATATTGCATCAAAACAGATCGCAATTGTAAAGTCATTTTGCAACGATTTAAGTCATTACATTTGATCTACTTATTTGTTTATTCTCTTCTCGTTGATTTGTATTATCATGGTAATCTAATATCAAAATAAGGTTTGCTGCTAATATGCTAATAATAACCAGTTGTTGTTAACTTATGCAGTTGCAGTAACATATTAACTTATGCTGTTGATCGTTAATATCTAAAATTTACATAACACCGTCTATTTGTTTTGATATCATATCTGTTAATTAGATGTTAATTGCATCTAGCATTCCATAATCTCCAAGCATCTTCACCTTTATAAAATAACTTAGGTGTAATAGCCCTATAATGATAGCTGCAGCTTAACACTATGAAACAAATAGGCTATTGATGGCAATGAGAATTATCAAGGACCTAATTATACTTCTATGAAAATTCAGAATTTAATTGTTGCCACCAGATATAGCACAGTACAGTATCTACAGCTATTAATAACTACCTAATAATAATTACTAATAACTAAGTTTAGGATAGTCGATAAATATACAATTTGTGTGCTTAGTATTTAGGCTTTACTGCTAATCAATTTATCCTTCAATCGATCAAACGGCTACAGCTAGTATATGAAGCTAAAGAATAATATATCAATAACAATATAAAATTTTCTATATAGGTGTCATGGTGCGAACTACCGTGAAGAAATAGATATCTAAATTAGGTTAATATAATATAGTGATATTATATCACAACTAGTTACTTACAATAGGAATTACTCTAATTATAAATGTGTTACAGTAAATTTAATGCTGTGCTGTAATGTGTACTGAAATGATTCTGTGAATGGACATATTGTAGTCCGACTGTGAAAAACTAGTTAGTTCTCACCCAAGTATTTTTATAAGATAACTTGTGAATGTTAGCTGCTGTAGAAGGGTATATAAGCCTGTCAGATAGTTGAATAAAGCAGTTCTCAATCGTCTAGTTGAGTTTAACGTAGAATCAAAGGCGTCTAAATTCTTGTGAGGTAGTTAAGGGATACTGAATCCCGGAGACTATAGCAATTTAGAGATTTGTTTTACGTTATCCTTGTCACGAAGCTGGTTTGTGACAATAGGAAATAATATAACCCAGCATGCGGAAGAATTAATAAATGTAGCTAAATTTAGGATAATTGATAGCAGATATATATTGTGCTTAAAAAATTTTACCTTTATTACGTACTTGTAGTATTCAAACTGTATAATGGTACTTACTGGTATTAAACTGAAATCGCATCATAATAAATGATAAGTTTCTTAGTTATAATAGAGCACTAGGCATTGCTATGAAAGGCAGAATTATAATTAAATTTAGAACAGTCGATAAAGGATTTGCATTCTACTGTAATTTTGTCTTCCTAATACGGTACTTATCCTGCAAAGTGGGATCTGTTAGCTTCATACTAAATTACATTATAGTCAATAACGAGATAAAATTTACTGCTTATGCTATAGTGCTATAGGCTAGACTCGAAAATCAAAACTACAATTAATTTTAGATTAAGCCACAGATTTTTACTTTATATATACCACTTTCTATTTACCGCAATCGTGTTTGTCCTGTTATGTGTTTATGTTGTATAGCAAGAGTCACTTGGCTACAAACTCGAATAAAGTACCGTAATCGATATCGAAGTCATATTTCCTGCCTATAACATCGCTTAAAGCGATAAAATAGGAGGTGAACAGTATAGCTAAATTTAGGATAGTTTATCCCGATACACACCTTTATGCATAACATTAAAAGTTACCATTATTTTAATTTATCCTGCGGTACATGTGATATGAAAATCATTTAGTAAATATACAAACACTTGAATAATACAATAATTAAGAGCTAGCTTAAATCTCACTTGCTGATAAAATGTATTTATGCTATTTCAAAAGAAATTACTTAACGACGCCTATTAGATTTGAATTTGAATACAATTTTAGCAGATTATCTTGCAGATCATGATCTATATTGCAACTGATTTATATAGAATTTAAATTATTGGTCGCATTCTACAAGGGGCTCAAATTTTTAATGATATCATGGCATTTATAACAGAGAATCTATGATGAAATTTAAATTCTTAGCGAACATTCCTATATCTATACAATATCTATTTTAAAACATCTCTTTAATAATCAATATATGCCAAAATATTGTAATTTAGGAGAATAAGGATACGCTTAATTTATAGCAATTTATTCCTTTAGCGCATTCTTGAATAGAATATAATTTTTGTAATTTTGATTAGATGAATTCGGGTTGATTTTTCATCATTTTGAAACGAGAATCTTCCACTGTATGATATCAGATCTAGTTAGCGTTCTTAAACTGATGGATATCAATCTAAATCGCCATATATCTATATTACTTAAGGCTAAATATAGTTTAGAAAATGTGCACTTCAATTTATGCCGTGAAGGAATTAGAATAAACTAAAACTTTTGAAATACCAACAGGCCGCAATGGTTTATTCTGTGTTGTTTAATATTCGATCACTATAATTTTTTACTCCAAACGCCTTCTTGGTTCGCTAGTACGAAAAGCATTGTCTCGCTAGTGTTAAAATATTTCGTAATATAAATAAAAAGGAGGCTTATGCTAGCTCTACTATTACAAATATTTTCAGATTGCTATATAACTGCAATATATAGCTTGGAAATTAATATAGCTGTACGAGTATTTAGGAAATTGACTCAGACACCTATCGCTGATACTGTTTAGATGACAAAAAAACGTGAGCAGACTGTAATATTGGCATTTACTTCAATCCCAGATTGCAACAGACTGGCTTGCAGAATTTCTGCCAGAATGCATACCTAAATGATAGCAAAGTTTACCACACATTACTTGCAAATTTAGAACGTTACAGCTTATAAAAGGTAAGACTACTGATTAATCCTCAGGTGAATCCATTAAAATTGAAATACTGAACTGAAGATTTGTTGTCAATTACTATGAAATTGTACAGCTGTGGAATTAAAAGATTTTTCTAACAATATAATTCTAAACTCTAACGTAAATATAATACGCTTATACTAGTGAGTATTTAAGAGAGTACGGTATCGAGATGATTACATGAGAATAATTATTTCATCTATTACTCATTTCATCTAAAAACAGACTACAGGCTTATATTTCTTCAGTTACTTTATAATTAAACATTTTTTTGTAGAGTTCGCTCAAGATGTAGTTAAAGTTAAATACCAGCAGATGGAACTAGAATTTGCTAGAAAAGTTTTGTTTCGGAAACACAGATACGGTACTTCAGCTTAGTGATTGTTAATATATTCAATTTTTCAAATAATGATAGTGCGTATACGAACTGTCGGCTTGCGGTATAAGGATATTTCCCTGAATACGTTAATGTCTTAAAATTATAGTCAATACACAAAGTCTTATAAATATAATTTTATTTATCCTTGTTCTCTACATAACGCGGGTGTTCTGCCAATAGAGGAAATGAACAACTCGGCAGAACACTTACTCTTGTAAGTTTATAATAGCCTTTAATTTTTGTGTTATTCAAACATATACTGTCCAGATTTAGGGTCGGAAATGTATAAATACGAGAGATTTCATAAAATTTTAAACTTGAATTTAAATAGGTTGCACGCGTGTATATGCATCAAGTGATCACTCTTTGATGATAACATTAATTGTGCAATAGCATATATATATATTATGTTGCAATAATCACAAATTTTAGCTAAGTAATAAACTTATTATCAATATCAGCCTCCAAAATAACTGCAAGGTTCTATTCAGTTAGTTAGAAAGTCGATTTTCCACAAGGAGCTCAGTCGCTTCGCTTCCTAGATGAAATGCATTAAAATAAAGATTTAATACCTTGCCTTTCATACTTTGGATAACTTAAATGTGATAATAGAATTACTTTTGTATGTGATTCTCGCATTAGCTGGCTCATACTTAATGGTTCCAATTGATTTGCATTAGAATTTTGTCTAAATAGAATAGATCAGTGTCAAAGAATTACTTAATATTAAAGATAATATTTTAAATTTTCTACAATGGCTAATTTATATATGTTACGACATTGCCAATATGTACTGATACATAGAATTTCTACAAGAAGGCATAATGATCCAGATATTAAATAATAGTAACTTGTGTATGAGACAACAATTTAACATGCCACAGAGTAAAATTCATTTCAATATATATAGATTTACGGGGTAAATTAGTCTGAAATTATTAGTTTATTTACTATATATTCTTACACAATAGGTATGCCACCTTTTTATACTTTATGATATGAACTTGATGAATCATATAGATTTTATGGAACTTCAGTTAAAATAACTTAGTTATAATCTTTAATTATCATTTAAATAAGAATGATATATCATGATATACTGGTAGGTATCAATATATGATAATTCTGATCTGTTAGCGTAGCTAAAATTTCACCATTTTCAAATTTATCCTTACAACATTGCTATATAATTTTACATGTTTGAGATTGCTTCAAAATCAATGACATAGTTACTTAGAGAGAATGGATAAATATGCGTTACTTGAAGATTATAGAAGAATTTTATTCCTCTCGTAAATTTACAGATACAAAGCTGAAGCATTTTATGACTAAATAAATTTACCGTTTTTCCATTTTAGTCTCGCTAATCTCTTTTCTTATTAAAGTCTTGATTGGATCATGAAATAATAACTTATCGTCGTTAGATTCAGTTTCATTGCTGTATGCTTCTTTAGTAATTTCATCTTGTGACAACCGATCCTTAGCGTCACTATCCTTCGAATTGTTTTCTACTGGAATACACGTCTGAGAATTATCAGCCACACTTTCCTCATCGCTCTCATCCTGTTCTGTGTTGGATACTTGATCTGTAGCTGTTATAAAATCTGAAATTCTACAGGACAAACGTAGGGCATCGACAGAATCTTCTATTTTTCTATAAGATCACAATAATAGACATTAGAGTGTCTGTAAAACTAAATTAAAACTGGAAGGAAATCTTTTCAATAATTTTCTCGAATCAATTTGTAAGTAAAATCTCACCTGGCTGACGCGGATTCATTTGCTAATGCATGCAAATACATACGGCCAATACGTCTTCTAGCTTTTTGCCTGATTCTGAGCTTTAGTCTCTCTTCTTCTTTACGTTGTATCTATGAATAAGAATTGATATATTAGCAATAAAGTTATCAAGCATTTTCTCAGACCGTCTAAAATGTCAATCGCTAATAACCTCTTCAGGAGATGGGCCTTTAATTACATAGCTTTTTTGAAGCGATTCCATTGTTGGCATACTGACCTATAATATCAATAAATATACATATTATAATCAAAACTCGGCTAATGCAATAAATTATTTAACTAATAAGCAGCATTTGCTGCATATATATGTAATTAAAAGCCGGTACTATTTTATTATAATATCTAAATCAGTAGTTGGGTGCCCAGAATGACAAATCTAAGTTATTTATCATTAAATAGTGATATTGAAATCTCTCTACATAGCCTCAGTATAAATTTGCGAGGTAAGCTAGCAAAAATGTAGTAACATTTACCCTAGGGAACATTTTCTCTATCGAATATCCTTGTTGTGTTGATCCTCTTCGTGAAGCCCTTCTAGAAGCTCTTTTAGAATCTCTTGATCTAATTCCTGTTAATTCAGGAAGTGCTTGTAGCTGCATGAAACATAGGTAGTAATGCTTAATTATAAGATAAACTTGTTAAATTATCCATATGTAAGTACAGATCATATCTGCTTCTAATGTTGGTTTAGTATGAACATAGTTCTCCGAAGTGACTATTTTTACCATTTGCTCATGAGTTGGTAAATCACCCAATCCATCCGACTCATTTACAACGGTAATATAATCAAATATTTTTGAAGTAGTTTTAATTCTTCTGTCCATTAACAGATTCTTAATATCATCTTCAGCAAGTTCTGTAATATAATAAAAACGAAATAAATGTAAGCATCTTAAAATTTTTCTGATTACAAAATTGGAGAAAATAACAATGAACCGCAAGATCTACCTCCTCCTAGAGCTTTCTGAAGTTGTTTAGGTTGACTCAACATCCCATTCCAAAACGTATTTATTTGGCTATGGCCTTTTATTTTACCCTCCTTAACAAATCGACGCTCTAATCCTATAATCTTTAATATCAGAGTTAAAAAAATAAATTTATGTACGTGGAATCGTGCAATCGGTAATATACTACCGAATAAAATATAACGTACGAGTAAAACTTTTATTCTATAGTTTAATTAAATTTATTAATCTACTGAATCAATATTGCATGAAGTCATGACATATTATTACCTTGTAATATGCTGTTTTAGGTAACGCATCAGTAAAACTGCTGTCGCTTACGGGTTTTGATCGCTTCATACGATTATCTTCTAAAATTCTCCTTTTATCTTTCTATATTTTTCCCAAATAATATGAAATTTTGGCTTACACAAACAGTAATGTCTCACTTTGATAGTAAAACCATTATATAATAGATATTTGGTTATTTATTTAATCTATAAATAGCGCAGCAGTATTGTGTATATTCAGGTACGCATTACTCGATTGATTTTTACGTATAGCTCTTCTAACAATACTTCAAACTCTGCCTGTTCAATAAATTGCATAGCATGACGTATGATTTACCAGAAGATGCTGTTTGTGTCTCTCCTGCTTTTTTAAAGCTTTCATTTGCATCTCCTTTATATTTTGTCGTTGTTCATCGATTTTTTCCTCTAATGCTTCCATATAAACTCTTCTATAATGATCCCGCAGGATCGACATTTTTTCTAAGTGATCACATAACTGCAACAAAAAAAGAATATTTTTCAATATCATTTTTACTAATAGATATTTTCGTGTGTAAAATATCACATAATATACTGCATACATAAATTACCAAGCATACCCTATTTACAATGTACGTTACGATAGTTGCATTTTTTTTAGCGAGATGTGTTTATCTATTTACCTCTTCAGGTTCTGGATCAAAGTCAAAGTTTCTACTGGCACTCTTCTTTTTACTTCTAGCTTTTTTAGTCGACTTTTCTCTGACAACAGTCTAAAGTACATAGTAATGAAGCTCTTTGGTGTTAATTGGGTACAATTTATGATGGTAGTCAAAGGCTAAGCGTCCAATGTTTATTACTAATGACGATAGTGTACGATAGTTGTAAGATATCTTAATTATTCTAGTTATTGATTGTCACTGGATTAATAATATAAAGTTTTTAATCTTGAATTTGATTAATTAATCGACTCTGTACGGTATCTATCAAGATGGATATTCTAGTTTAACAGTCATTCGGTTTTGTGATAAACTACCGTATGATCTTTTAGCTGTTATACACTTACTTTAGTATTCTTGTTCGATTTTAACTTTTGGTAATCCTCTACCCCATAAAGTGTTAAAAGTGAAGGCAGCGTTGTTTCGAGATATTTTGAATTATCTTCCTTTAGTTCGAAATTATCAGTAGAATTCATTGCTTTGGGGATTCTACTTCAGGCTTTACAATTAATGCTGCAATATTAAAAATCGATTTATGGCCTTGCTGTTATTTTTAAATTTATTAAATGGATCTTGAGGAGAAATGATGCGGTAACGCGAATGTTTGTGCCATCTTGGTTATCTGCTTGATAAATCCGTAAAAATTAATACTACGTTCAAGTTGACTGCCAATAGTGAGAGATTGCTTTCTGGTGAAATTTAGTTATACTGCCAAAGTTGTATTTTACACCAAGAATATGAGAACGCGTACCTAAGCTCCGATTGGAGTGCAGTCCGACACACTATCGACGCTAATATCTAATCTGTTTGATGAATATAATGGAATTATCCAAAATTTGTATCGGTGCACCATAGACTGATGAGATGGCAATTTGTTTTACTCTTATGTATCTTATATCACTTCTGATGTTGTAGCGAGGCTTTTAAACTGTGCTTGATCTACACTATAACATGATACAAAATCAATTCACGAGAATCTATTACTCAATAGCGCAAAGTATTCTAAATGCAATATATGTGGTGTAAATGTGTAGAATAGATAACTGGATATATAAATACGAGTATACACTGTAATTAGATATTGGTTATATATGGATTTAAGCCAGGTCGCCAATCGTTTATGACTTTCAGGTTGCTATAGAAACAAGGATGCAGGCGTATGGTAATGCTGTGGGTGAAGTCATCACTCATCAGTCATGTTATACTAAAGAGCCAGGGACGGGTTATTCGCCATACTAAAAATGAGAGTTAGACTCATTGACTGGTCATTTCAATTGTATCATACATGTGAAACGGGACGCAATACTGCCTACGATTGTCATCCCAATGAGCTGCTCGATTGGCTTTGAAGAATGCAGTATACTAGTAGATACACTGATGTCGTGATTTCAGCTAATTACAGTAGTTTTGTGTACAAGTGAATAGTACAGCTACCACTAACAGAAAAAGGTATGGGGAAAATTACAATTCAAGCATGGACTACTAGAAATTCTACTGGTACAATGTAATATAATATAATTTGATATTCCTTGTAGTCCATGAGCATCGGAGGCCCATTTTTCACTACTGCATTACAGTACACTATTGAGGTTGAGATACTGGTTACTGAGTCACATGTATAGTGCGCAAGTGCAGTCTCAGTGTGCTAGCTTTGAACGGCTTGAAGGAGTCCAAGAATCAGTCTTGGACGGACGGAACTCTTCGGCCTTATTTCGTCAATGTATAGTGGCAAACACTTCCTTTTGACAGTACTTTAGTAAGCAAACGGTACTATTGAGATTGACATAGTGGTCACTGACTTAATAGAGTTACATGTATAGTGCGCAAGTACAGTCTCAGTCGGCGAGCTTGGTACAGTATCGTCAGCAGCTTGGACGGCTTGAAGAAGACCAAGAATGAGTCCTGGACGGACGGAACTTTTCGGCTGCATCTCGTCAAAATATAATGCCAAACACTTCCTTTTGACTGCAATTTAGTATGCAAACAGTACTATTGAGGTTGACATACTGGTTACTGACTTGATAGAGTCACAAGTTTGGTGCACAAATTGCGCCTGTAGTATGGACCGATAGAAGAAGAGATGGAGTCACTCCTGGACGGACAGACATTTTCGGCCTCCATCTGGTCCAAACATTGTGCCAAATACTTCGTTATAACAGTACTTTAGTAGGTGGACTGTTGGTTTTGAATTGACCGCTATTTTCTTAATTAAGTCATATTACGTTAAATCTTATTATCCACTACTCAGTTTTACTTGGAAACTTTTATATAAGATTGTTGATGTGATTTAAATTAGTACTAGTACCGATGATTTGAAAAATAAATACGGAAAATCCATACTAAGTAGTCATTTTTCGATATTGAAGACTCTTATTAGGTAAGAAAAGTCCGTCTGTCTGAGGGAAGGATCAGCCCATCGGGTCCAGGTTTCCTTCTGGTAGTCCATGGCCAGTCATCAGTATCATATCAAGTCACTATCAATCAATCTAATCGCAGGCATCTGGTACCGTACTTACATGTCAAATGTGCCGTATACGAATACTAACTATCAATAGTATTACTGTAGGCATAGGCTGTCCAGCTGACTATCCAACCAAAAACTCTGCCACACTTTCTGCAAAAGTTAGGAGCATAGCCTGCAGTCTACCTGTTGTGAAGAGTTAGGATAATCCATCGCATACCTATTGTGCATTGGGTTACTGGTTTTCAGTGGCTGTATTGGTGTCTGCATGCGAGCTATTTTGAAAGGATTGTGTAGAGCATAAAAGCCTTTCAAGTACTGGAAAGATATCGGTGTGTAAGCATATTGTGGGTAGTTTAAAATTAGGATATTTTGTACTATTTAAGTTTCTCCAGGCATAATTTAAGACTTTCCTTTCAATCGACTCTCTACACCTTTGTAGGATTTTTATTACTGTTGATATACATACATACCTTGGTGACCGATTATCACCTACGAAACCGAGATGCCGCGATATGAAATGCCTATAATAATACGCTGTATGAAACAGGTAAAATCGGACTTGATCTACAAATTACTATGGCTCTTTTTTTCTAACTTTGATATCAATATTTCGCTTTTACAGCCGGAACAGTATATCGAAATGTTGAAAAGAACAGCTTCGAGAATTTTTAATCAAGGCGGTGTAATACGTAAAGTAGAAAATTTAGGGACTGATAGACTATTGCCTTATAGGATAAGAGCTCACACCGTTTGGTACGATAGAGGAAGGTAAGCTGCAAATGATAATCTAATACTGTATAATTTATACAGTGCCTGTATAGAAATGTTTGCTTGGACGCATATTATCTAGTTTGCTTTCAGCAATGGAATGGATAGCATATAGAATCAAGCCCTTAACCTTTACAACCTAACAATGATTCTTTTGACTTTATTACACATATACAACAGCTATTTCCTTTTCGATTTCCACGGAGCGCCACCAATTGTTAAGCGATTGCATAGTGAGCTGAAACTTGACGAAGATGTAATTAGACACTCCATTGTATCAAATGATGATCCTGTGACCATCAGTTTCAGAAAGGAAAAGAAGATATGTAGAAGGTCTAAATGGAGGATTTGATGCCTGCGTTGGAACTTAAAATTTGTACTTTGGAAATAGTATTTGCTATTCAAATATCCTATATGATAATACGAGAAGATATCGTAAAATATCAACTTCGATTGGACTGTAAATACTTTAAGATGGTCAAAATACCGAATTCTATTTCTTGCTGTATAGAGCAGTGGTGAATAGCATTATTACACTCAACGTTGCGATTGTGGCATTGAAATGTTCATAAGTCTGTCCAGCTCATCTTCTGATTGTATGATGCGTAAAAATAGCGATATATGTTTGTTAATCATCCTAAGCTCTAGCATATTATTAAACACTGACAGGCTGATATTTTATATGTGGAATAGCTATGTTCATCTTATTGCAATTCATTAAAAATATTGCTGTTGTACTGATCATTTAATTTTATAATTGCACTATTATGATGCAAATATAGTAAAATATGTTACTAGTTCTATTAATTTATCATGATCTATTGCTCAAGTTAACGTCATAGTCATAGTGATTGCATGTGGTATAAATTATTCCTGGTAGTTGAATTTTATGCCACCTTGTATGAATGGGATTTCTACTTCTCAATGTAACTTATGTTACAATGGTATTATCAAAATAGTAGCACATCCGAGACTCTCCTGCGCCACTCCAGAAGGATGCTCTGGCGCAACATCTTAAAGCAAAACTATGGGATAAAGAGTACAGATCCTTATATTTCCCCCAAAATAGACCATTTCGGACTAAGTCTGGGCTTTGCATAGAGCGATATAGAGGTCAGAAAACCTGTATGACCTCTCTTTTAGTATTTATTTACGATCAATACATACTTCCGTCACTCTTCATCGAGGTAATAAAGTACGTCTTTAATACATCAGTAACTTCCCTACAGATTGATGCACTGTCGCAGTAATATAATAAACTACAGGCAAAATCATAACTTGCAGAACCCTCCATAGACCGTGGCAGCACTACCGTACAGTATACCCATGCACACATTGCGTAACACTAGCCACAACATACAGTACTCGAATGTAGGATTCAATACCTCCATCTCCCTTTTAGTAGTTTAAATACTTCTATCTTTCTTTCATAGAGGTCAAAAACCTCTCTGATCTCTCTTTTATCAGTGAAATACTTAAAATAATTCCATACCTCTTCAAAGAGGAAAGAAAAAAAAATTCTACAAAAATCCTCTTTAGTGTAACTGGATTTGTTTCTGTCCGTCCATGTAGAGTATACGGTCCTGTAGCTGTAGACCCCGGTGTAGTGCACACACTTGTGTGAATGCAGAGGGCACTTCGTTATGGATTTGTTTCTGTCCGTCCAGGTACAGTATACCGTACAGTGTACAGTACTGTAGCTGTACCCCCCTGTAGTGCACTCAATTGCGTGTACTGTACGTACAGTACAGTACAATACAGTATGCACAGGACACTTCGTTATGTACTGTACACTGTACACTGTACAAGGCGGTGAAACGCCAGTGGCATTGACGGCAGAACTAAGTGAAAGTACAAACTGCAGGAAAGGCTCTTCGAGTCGATGGTGAATTTCTTCTATGGCTTCTTAATTGAACTCTACTCTACTTTGGAATAGCTTTATCCATAACAGCATGAATATGAACTACGCTGGTCAACAACCAATGATGGTTGGTCAAGGTACGCGACGAATAGTATTATTTTATACTGAAACAACTTCAACTTGAAATGTGTTGTAAGGCATACTTCCTTCTGGATGGTAGCAATGTCACGGTGTCAAATCTTTATGATCCATTTTACATCCTTACTTCAGTGGATACTGTATTATTTTCCTCTTTGAAAACGGACTATGGCATCGATCGTTGTCTAATATATCTTCGATCATACTTATACAGAATTAGACTGCACACTTTGCAATTTTGTAGAGGTTGATGTCCTTTTTCGAAGTCAACACCTTCAAAAGGCCAACATCAACATACTGTAGTGTTTAATGCATGCCATATGTATCTAGTCTACGATATGGAGGTAGACGATAGCAAGGCCTACTCATGTCTCTACTTAATACGCCCGTTTTGAGTCTTCATCATTTTCATCGACTTCAGCTGACAATGTTGACATGGGATACCAAGTTGATCTACAACGTGGATAAAATGATTACTATTAATCCTATCTGCAGTAGATAGTTTATATATTTTGACAGTAGTCTACTACAGACGAGATATTAGTCTTGGCCATGACAGTCGATGGAGAGGGAATAGTTGTTGTGATGGAACGAGTCAACGTGTCTGCCATCACTCGCCATGATTACTACAGCAATAGAATAGTGTACAAGAGAATTACGAAATCATTGAATCCATACTTAAAACTATTTTCTAATGGAAATATGTCCAATTTTATCTAGCTAATCCTTGGACTATCACCGCTGAACAACTTAATAATTACCAAAGAATGTTCACTGGCTTAAATCCCACCAATGGCTATTTATCTGGTAAGTCAAGTGATAGCTAGATCATAATACTGGAATGGGAAACTGTCGATAGCGATCGCACTCATGATTTGAAGTGAGGAAAACGCGCCACAATTTTTGTATGTTACCTTTATTTCTTTAAATGATAGCACACGTAACTTCTCTATTTGTACGACTGTATGCTAGAACTACAGTAGAATGCAGTGAAGAGGTTCTAAATTATTCTCAAATAGATTGTACAGTACATATGAATTATGGATAAGGTTAATTGTTGATGGGGATCCTCCAAGGGTCATCGATCAAAACTAGGTGGTTGTCTGATACTGATGCTGCTGCCAACCAATTGTTATAATTATTGACGTACAGTATAGACGACGAAGTAATGGATTGTACATTGCATTTTGATCATGGAGAATGGCTGTACGATAGACAGTAGCGACTTTATTGAATGTGCTTTTTAATTAAAAAAGTGTCAGTTGACTGTATCGATAGTATTGCAGCTTATCCTTTTTCACATCGCTATTGGCAACGACAATTTGGAATGTGTTTTGATTTGATTACTTTACTAATCAATAATTATGGTAAAATAATAGGTGAAAGTGCTCGAAACTATTTCATGCGTTCCAACTTGCCTTCTAATGTACTGGCTCAAATTTGGTAAGTCACATAGGAAGTGTTTATTATATTATTAAAATCGCCAATAACTTTAAACCTTGTCTTGTTAACGGACATTCTGCTAATAATAAATCACTAAAGGGGGAGTGCCTTTTGTATTTTCTTCAATCACTGTCTTTTATCGTGTTTACCAGATGTGATATACTGTATGCACTGTAGGAGTAAAAAAGATATATCTTCCACATCGATGCTGTTTGTTACTATCGACGCATATATTTTTATAATAATGCACAGATCATTCATTGTCATCGATTCTATTTTTATCGCATTCCAACTAAGGTATCTTGTTACCATCTAAGATTTTGATTGTGTTATGTTACCTGGTCCACAATTTGTTTTACAGAGATCTACCCGAGGAATCGAGTAGCCATGGGCTGGCTACTCGATGCACATTAATATTTTTACATCCCTAATTAATATGTAATCAATACTTTCAGTGTTGGGCAATTGAAGCTAAATTGACATTTTAGTAAGTTATGGCCTACGTCTTATTTTCAAGACTTGCTAAATATTGGCTACCATACTTTAACTCGAGATCAATACCTATACTTATTCTATGATACATTTATAATAGATTCAATTTGAAATGGTCTAATGAAATATAGGTATTATTGTATGGTAGCATAGTACATTCTGTATTTTTACCTCTAGAAATTTTCATTATTGTTACTTTATTTAATAACAAAGCATTTTAGATCAGTTTTAGCAGAAGTACCTAACAAATTAAATCCTTTAAACATATTGTTCGCATGATGCATGAAAATTTAAAGACTTTATTTATAAAATTTACTGTTATAGCGTTAGTATTTAGTAGTTAAAAATGTGTAAGATGATGATTAAGCCGGTTTGCAGAGTATCTTTGTTAGTTTAGTTACTAATCCTCTATAAAAGTATGACTTGGGTTGTATAGTTTGTCTTTGGTGTGCAGTGATATGCAAATTGTGAATAGAATGAATCATGTCCAGCTGTACGTTATACTATCAGATCCGAATGCTCCAATACTCTTACTGTTTATCGAGTAACAGAAGCAGACTCCTTTACACATATTAATGTGTTAAATCACTTTCGTACATATTTTAGCCTTGATTCCCATGAAATTCTAGAGTCGAATATTAGCCTTTCAAAATAGAGTTTATTATTTTCGATTTTCATAAACTACGCGTATGTCTAAATGGCTTGAAATGTCATGTAAATTCTGCTCTTGTAGCAATAATAACACTATGGTTTAAGCGCGGATGCTATCTTTATGTACCTTGTCTTAGATTTTCTAATTCTTGGTATTTTATTAATGAGCAGGGGATTATCAGACATGGATAATGATGGCCGTTTGTCTGTCCAAGAATTTTGTATTGCGGTACATCTTATTCAGAATAAGCTACGCGGAGTTGAGGTCCCACGTGTCTTACCTTACAGTATCAAAAGTACGGTTGCATCAGTTCCAAAAATACCTCCTAAAGATAACTTACAGATGGCCACAAACTCGAATACCCTGCCGGCAAGAGGCTTTGCCAACAACGCAACCCAAGGTACTATATCTTCATTCGGAAATTGGTCTAAGAGTTCATCCTCTACTGGCGGTCTCAACTTAGATAGTGCTATTAATAGTCAATTGAGCGGCATGGGTGGTATGACCCAAACTAATAAATCCTCTACCATGCCTATGCAAATTGCTACGAGCTCAGGTAATGATCCGCAGCAACAAAAGGCAACATTCGGCGAAACTAAAGCAGCAAATTTTAGCAGCAGTTTTGACCAACTGGCAGGCTTTCCATCATCTTCCGCTACTGTTGGTAGCAACTTTGGTGGTCAAGATTCTGAATCAATGCCTAGAAAAGGTAGCGTGCTAGCAGGTATGTAGTATCCGTTTTATGATAGTGCTGTGTGTTATTATTTCGACATTAATATAACTCGAGCAAATACTTTAACGTACACTTGTATTTCGGCAGGCCAAAGTGATAAAGCTTTCCAAGAGCCAATACCCCAGAACTTAAAAGTAAAATATACCCAAGTGTTTAACCGTTACGACAGAGCAAAAACTGGATTTATCCAAGGTATTGAATGGCTGTTATTAGAGCGCAGTAGTACATTATTAAATTTCCTGGATTAACCTGTGAAAATGTTTCTTCACATAGTCATGCATTAGTCAATAAGTTTTAATTAATTATCTTTGCTTTACTTGTACTTGTGTGATTGTTGCCTTCAGACTTTATTCATCCTTTATTGATACAATCGATCTTTAGGATCACAAGCTCGAGACATATTATCTCAATCACGCCTTGCACAACAGATATTAATTCAGATTTGGTAAGATTCTAATAGCTTTACAAGATTTTTACTCTTGAGAAATACCACGACTTAAGTTTTACAGTATTTTGAGCGGATATTTTAAATTGCTTAATTTTGGTAAGATGGTTTTGTTTTTTGAATCTACCTAACCTATCCCGGCGTTTTAATTGCATTTCTAACGTGTGTTTAAACAGGAATCTATCCGATATCGATAATGATGGTCGCTTGACGGGCGAAGAATTTTGCCTTGCCTTATATTTATGTGATCTAGCAAAAGATGGAGTTTCGATGCCTGAAAGTCTACCTCCTGCTCTTGTGCCTGCGTCATATGTTCGTAGAAGATCATCAATGCTTCAATCTGAAGTAGTAGACAGCAAACAGACTGCATTCCCAATATCTTCAGGTTGATAGCAACTTGTGTGATTTTTCAAGGATATGTATGTTTTTATTTACCGGTCTTTCAAAATTTATCAGTATCATTGGAAGAGAGGAAAAAACGAAACTTTGAACAAGGTCGACAGGAATTAGAACGAAGACGCCAAGAGCTGCAAGATAAACTTAGAAGAGAACAAGTAAACCTCATTCTGTGTAGCAGTACCATTCCCAAGAATTTTACTGATAATTAATTATAATGCAAATATTCATGAAATTGATTTTTTTCCGTAGGAAGAACGTAGGCAACGTGAGGTAGCTGAAGAAGAGAAGCGACAACGTGAAAGGTTATTTAATGTTTTTGTTACTTTTAACTCAAGTCTCAAAACCTAGTGTTCCTACAATATCACTATATTATATTAAATTTTTTCATATGTGTATGTATGTGTGTGTCAGGCACTGTTTGTAGTATGATACAGTATTGCGTAGCGTCGTATACGTTCGCTTCCAAGTGAGCGGGTTCAGGCTAGTATACTTAGTTAAGACATTTTTGCCAATTACTAAAATTTTGTCCCTGTTTACTTTCAGAATGGAGCAAGAGAGAAAGAAGCAAGAAGCAATGGAAAGATTACGGCAACAGCAGGAAGCTATCGAGCGAGAAAAAGAAGCACAACGCAAAGCTATGATTGAGAAAAGACTTGTTAGTCATAATAAAAGTGAAACCTGATTGTTTAGTAAAATTAAAACTTGTGTCACATTTGCAAGCGCTATTATTATCATCACTATCCATTACCTCAACTTTATAGGCTGAACAGTTAGAGAAGGAACGCCAGAGACAGAAAGATTGGGAAGATCGTAGGCGTGAAGAACTGAGTGCTCAAAAGAAAAAGGAAGAAGCCGTAGTGACAACCTTGCGGAGTAGATTATCTGAACTGCAAATGGATCTTTCCAGCTTAGTAAGTACAACAATTATAGTTTAATCGTCAAAAAATGTTTCCCACTTTATTATTAAATTTAGATATTTGTTATATTATAGCAAAGACGTAAAACTATGGCAGAAGAAAACTTATCCAAGTACAGATATGAGAAGGAACAACACGTAACCTCATTAAATATGATTAATAGTTCTATTTCAATCAGGAAGTCTGAATTGGAAGCGTTAAGAGATCAATACAGGGTTGGTACGACCTCATTGCATAACAGGCGTTAACTTTATTGTTTTTACCGCTTATTTTCATATGCTCAAAAATTGTTAAATTTAACGCTTTAGGATTTTACTCAAAAATATAACGCTTCAAATCAGGAGAGAGAACAAACTGCTAGGGAATTTAGCTTGAAAGGAAGAACTACGACAGGTTATTAGTTTTTATTACTAATATGAACTTATCGTTGGATATCTAATATAGTATGGTTGCATTTTAGCCGTAGCATGTGATGCTGTCACTGCCAGCTGTAAAGAAATGAAATCAACTTTACAACGGTTGCAAATGAACTTACAAAAGCTAAACAACGATACACAATTAAAGCAGACTGAATTTGGAGGCCTTATATCTCATCGAGATGTATGATAACAATACCGATTGATCGCAAAATACTGCTGTGCGCATTGATGCTAGTTTTCTATTACGATACTTATTATAGGAGTTATCACAAGATGTAAAGAAACGAAATCTCGAATTGCAGAAATTACAGCAAATGAAAGACGTCAAGCAGCGACAGTTCGAGTTTAAAAGTGGAAAAAAGTATGGATAAGCTGTAAAATGTTTCTTAAAGTGATACATTTTTAAATGCTCAAGCTTTTGTGTTGATACTTGATAACTATGAGTTCGTATTTATATAACTTTTTTGTTATTCATAGGAGCACAGCATCCAGCGATTTATTATCTCTAGATACAATGTCAAATACCAGTAGAAATCAATCCAGCGTAAGCAATGATAAAGCACGATCACAAAATGATGATCTATTTAGCGTCAATTGGACAGACGTTAGTAGTCCATCGAATTCCACAACAGCTAGAAAAACGAAAGAAGATAAAAAAAATGATGCCTTTGGACTACTTTTGAATACAGATGATAATACTAGTAAAGATAAGGCTGCAACTTCCAACTTGTTCGAAAGCAATTTTGGATCTGATGACAAAAAATCTAGTCCATTCTCTGGTTTTCAAAATAATTTTGAAACTAAAAATACCACTAGTAGTAACTTAGGAAATGCTTTCGATACTAACTGGCCGCAGCAAAGTAGCAACACCGAAAACAAAACTAGTAATGCAGGCACTGACGATATTATGGGTAATATTGGTGCGGAATGGTCTACAGTAGGCTCTAATAAGGATCAAAATCAAGAAGATACAAACAAAAAAGTAGTGGGTGTAGATGCTTTTGGATCGATGTCATGGGACACTACCAATCAAAGTAATTTTGCTGCATTTGAGGCATCGACAGATACATCCGTTTCTATGGCCAATACCGATACATCTGATGACAAAGAAGTAGCATGGAAATCTGCGTTTGAACCTGCTGAAAATGCTGTAAGTATGCATCAGGGTATCTACTTAGATTTTCAGTAAGTAATTAATTAATTAATGGATGACTTTATTTACAAAATTCTTTAATTTAAACTGCACTGGTTAAACAGAAAAGAAAGACCTTAACTTCAGCTATTGGAGCAACATCTGCATTTATGGCTGGAATTACGATGGAACTTGCAAATCCTCAAAGTAATACAAATGAATCTAAAAACACTGTTCCTTACAAAGCTATGTATAGCTTTGATGCTTCAAATGATGATGAAATTTCGCTTGAAGTTGGAGACAAACTGATGGTGTGTACTACTTTCTTTTTTGTTGAAGCATCTATTTATATGCCTATTCATTCTTCGATCTACGTATCAGCATTAAATTACCTGTGATAAATTTTATTTCGGCTGTACTATGTTACTCTACTAGATCTTTGAAAATGAAAATGTAGGTGATGGTTGGTTGTATGGTGAAAAAAATGGCAAAGTAGGTATTCTTCCTAGAGACTTTGTTGAAAAAATTGTTGAACCGCATAAATCTACTGAAGATATAAATACAGATTCCTTGTCGCTACAATCTGGCAACCCTTCCCTCAGAAGTGATGGTTCACAGAGAACTACGAAAGGATTGATAGCTCGAGCAATTGCTGATTACGATAAGACGGCAGATGATGAATTGTCATTTAAAGAAAATGACTATATCACCATAGTCGAACGATCAGGAGATGGATGGTGGACTGGAGAGTTCAATGGAAGACGTGGACTTATTCCAAGCACATACTTAGAAATGGAGGATCTCCCCCAAATGGATGATACAAGCACAAATTCAATAATACCTGCCGCCAATTTTGAACGAAAAAATAGCGCTTCACCTGCTGCTTCACCTACTACCATTGGTGTATCAGAAAGTGAAACATACGCATTTGAAAGAGAGGAATACGGTGTTGCTTTATACAATTACAGATCAAACGAAGCGGAGGATCTGCAATTCGATGAAGGTGATAGAATCCTAATAATATCGTGCGAAGGAGATTGGTGGAAAGGCAACTGTAAAGGAAAGTCTGGCATTTTTCCCGCAAATTACGTAGAACTAGTGGTACAAAATAAAGATAATTCTCCCGAATATGTGAAGGCTATATCGGATTATACGAAGCAAGATGACAGCCAGATATCATTTTACGAAAATGATGTAATTCTGGTGCTGAATAAAGAAACGAACGGCTGGTGGGAAGGAGAACTACAGGTTTGTTGCTATTGAATTCAACCACCTTTCTAATGTGAGAGGTTATGCTATGGAATTTATTTTATGAATTAATGCTTCAGAATTCTCCCTCTGATTCTGTACGTGGTTGGTTTCCGGCAAGTTATGTTCAATTGACGGAATTGAACGAGGTTGTTGTGCATCATAGCTTTGCGAAAAAGTACACTTACATCTTGTGTCTTTACATAATGTAATTCAAATTTATTTTGAAAAAATAGCCTCCAGAAAGTGACACTGACAACACGCCTGCTTTCGCAAGTATGTCTGGAACGACCGAGTACCTGTTATCTCTTCTACTAACATCTTTATTTTTCTTGCAGACCAAGTGCTGGCAATATACGATTTTTCAGCAAGTAAACCGGACGAACTTGCCTTTCATCAAGGCAATATTATTAACGTGATAGAAAACGATGACAATGATTGGTGGCAAGGGGAACTAAATGGAGTTATTGGTTACTTCCCTGCAACGTTTGTGCAATCGCTGTCGTCAAATCATACGGAAACGGAAACAGGTAAACTGAGACAAATTAGATAAGATGATATATCTGAATCTAATTGTGGAACTTTTATAATAATTATGTCATATGCTTTCGTAGGAACTGAAAGTGAATCACTAGATGCAAGAATGGTATTATTTCGATATCTTACCCAAATTAGTCTAAAATTTTGCAGTCTTATACTGATTTTTCTCATTTCTCAGTTGACGATCAAAGAGTTTATTGAAACGGAAGAAAAGTATTTGAAAGACCTTATACTTATCAATGAAGTATGCTTATTCTGGAAACAATATCTTAATATTGCTTTCGATAAACAAATGATTGGACATAATACATTGCAGTTGTGTTAAAATCGAAACGGTCATAGCATAGATATTTATTAATAAATCTTGCTAAAGCATATAACCGCAGTAATGAAAATACTTGAATTTCTAGATATACATTGTTCCTATGAGAGCTGATAATAACTTTGATCAAGAGGATCTTGATAAGTTGTTTATTAATTGGTCTGATGTAATATCATGCAGCACCAAACTATTACAGTAAGTGTATTGATTTCGAGCTATTAGATAAATTGACTGCATTCCTAATAGGTTAATATGATTTTAGAGCAATAGAACAAAAATCCCAAAGTGGCAATGATGCTGAAGCTTTCGCGACAGTATTACGTGACGTTGTAAGAATTTCAAAATTGCATAATTTCATTGTTATTTGATGACATCTCAACCACGAGCAACTTTTAAATTTGGTTACTGTTTGCGAACATATCTTGCAGTTACCAACAATGATGCCTTATGCTGTATTTTGCAGCCATCAAATGGCTGCCTGCAAATACCTTCAAGAAAAGAATTCTGATACAGAATTCAAGGAATACCAAAAGGTTTTTAGAAATATTGCTAGCTCTCGTATTTTTACGAATTTGAATATATTAAACCAGGTTATAATCATGTTTACAGCGATGTTCCGCTGACCCGCGATCGCAAGGGTTACCGTTAAGTTCCTTTCTTTTGAAGCCAATGCAACGAGTGACGAGATACCCACTATTACTGGATAAGGTATGTAACAATGTATTATGTTTTCATGGTAGTTATCAAGAAAAAGTTGCATGTAATATGTGTAACATTCTGTTTCGTAAATAGATTATGAAGTACACACCAGAAGTTAGTTCTGATTATCGAAGTTTTCAAAGCGCAAGAAAAGCTGCTATTGATTTATGCAAAAAGGTTTATTGTAGTACTTTTGTAATCATAATTATATAAAAATTGCTCGTTCTACGTACAGGTATTTGTAACTTTAATATATTATAATCGTACTTGCTATCTTAGGTTAACGAAAGTGTGACACAAAAGGAGACTGCAGACAAGTTCCTTTGGCTTCAACACCATGTTAATTGTAGTGATTCGTCGGAGGTATTTATACGTTAATTGGAAATCTTTTTTACTAAAGTACTGATATTTCTTAGTTTAGGATATTGATTATAATGAAGTAATTATGTTTAATTTTAATTATATAGGATATCGTGTTCAATTCTAAAACTAACTGCTTAGGTCAACGCAAACTTCTCCATTCTGGCCCTGTAGTTAAGGTAGGGTGAGGGGTATTACAGAATGTCATCATAATATATGCATATCATAGATGTAATATAGAAATGTTAGAGCAATCCTATAATATAAGCTGATGTAAAGTATATCTGTTGCTAATCCTGGTCAAATATAGGCTAAATCTAATCGGGAACTAGTCGCCTTCTTGTTTAACGACTTTTTACTATTAACGAAACCGCTAAAATCGAGCACTATTTCAAGAGTCTTTTTTGAAAAAAGTGATGAAAAGTATCAAATGTATAAACCGGTAAAGTTCGTAGATAACGCGATATCAACAAGTTCCTTACGGTAACTCCTCACATAGATCTGTACTCTTTATCTTTTAAAGCCTTTCATGTTAAATGAAGTTAACGTGAAAAAAGTCAGCGATGATCCTGCAGGTACTGTAGTTGTAATAACATTACTAAATATAATTAAAATTTAGTAGATAAGACGACATTGCACATTGTCAAAGTAGATATAGCCCTGGATTAACGACCATTTAAATTAATATTATAGAAGATAAAACTATGTTTTCCATTTTATACCGCGAGAAATGGATTTCATTGAAAGTAGATAAGGAGAGTGAAAGGTTAGTTGCTATTTGAATAGGGTAAACAAATTAAGTCATCTTACCAGGTGTAAAAGCGAGTCTGATACAAATTACATTAAAACAGGAATTTATGGGTAAAGAAAATTGTAGGCGCATCGCACAAATATAAGAAAATTGAACGCCAACAAGGCGAGGAGACAAAGAAAGGTCAGTTGTTAACACCAGATTCTAACTATTCTACACTAAAATCAGCTACCTTGAACAGCTAATTTGATGATATTTCTTCCAGCTGCAAAACTAAAGGCGAATGTAGGTCAAGCACAGCTTACCGTGTTCGTAATAGATGCACAAGATTTAAAGACAGTAAAGCGTGATGGTGGGTATACGATTATATGAATGATAATTCTGTAAATTGTCGTTATAAAATTATCGGTAACATTTAGCTAGTTTCAGTTTGTAAAGCCTGTGTGATCTTAACATCTTTCAATCGCTATACTATTTTAGGGAAATGTGATCCCTATGTGCAAGTAAACCTAGCCAAGCAAAAGCAAACAACAAAAGTGCAACCATCAACAACAACTCCAACTTGGAATTCCACGGTAATGTAGCCAGCTCGGTACATCTAATATAATCTAGCTACTCATAATACTTGCTGACAAACGATTCTGACGTATGTCCTTTTATTAGTTACATTTTTATGCAGCAAACATGGCGCAAGAATTATTATTATTAACCATTCTGGATAAACGATACTATGCCCCTGATGGTAATTTTGTATTTGATATACCCGTAATTATACACTTTTCCTTTGTAAAATAATTAACGCAATGTCTTATGGTATTTTTATCAAGATTTCTTGGGCAGTGCTACTATTCCTCTTTCTCAACTTATTAATGATGGTTTGGGACCTTGGAAGAAAAGCATAAAGTTAAATGGCGTTAATACTGGTACACTAAACATCAAAATTAATCTATTGTATCAATCTTCCGGTGCTGATGATATTTATCAATAGACAGTTATTTAGAAATTTATATAATAATGCTTGTTCACGATGAACAAGTAAAACTTAGGATGCGATTGGAGCTTACTAAAATATACCTCGATATCAGCGATTTAGATATTTGACTTCTGTATTGGACCTAATTTTGTGATATATGTGGATAAACTGACTATATGTTTTAGCAATTTTATCGGTGGCTGTTTTGCACTGATGTGGTCTTAATTTCTTTCAAGAAAATTATCTAGTTGACGAAAACATTTTTAAATCATTTTTGTCAAAGGGTTACTATTGCGATTAATCATAATTATTGTACAATATATGAAAAGTAGTATTTACCATGTGTTCACATAGCTGATTAAATGTATTATCATGGATATCTGCACTTATCGGTGACCATTACCTACTGTTTTTATTAATTTTAACTGAATAACTTTCTTAAATTTCATAAAATTACACGGATTAAATCTTAATTGCTTACAGTATACCCAGTCGTCAAAAATAAAAAACTTTTTTGATTTTTAGTATTCAGCAAGAAGCAACTAATTATTCAAGAGTAAACATAATTTAATGTCAGTGAAATCATTTTTAATTGCCAACCATCAGTCTATCGAAGCGATTTTTAGAATAGATACAATCTTGATACAGGCAATAAATCAACGGCGCCTTGGTTACTTTAGCCGATATGATTACATTACGCTGTAATTTCGTAAAACTAACATGATAGGAATTAAATTATGCTAGTTTAAAACGACTACGACAACATTAGCGTTAAAAATAAACGAGATTCCTACGATAAGTACCGTAACCGTACGTATACCACACACTTTGTTAATGATATCATACCGTAGGTGATTAAATGTATTGACATTTCAGTCAAAATGTTGGTATTCAAGCTGCTATAATACAGTAAATAAATTACTCCATCATAGGCTGAATGTATGTAAATTTTCCTTAAGCCTGATAGATATATATAATATTTTTCTAGTATAACTGTTCGAATTGACACCGAAACCTAGACATAAATATACTGTACTGCTATTAGCATAACATATGCTATTAACTATATGATTATACAGTATACACACGGATCATACAGTAAGTCGTACATTACATTTTAGGAGTGTCAATATTGTTTGATGCTAAAAATCTTATAAACATTGCAGGTAGCCAGGTAGCGGTCATAAAGCGTTAAAAAATCGTTATGCTCGCAATTGCCTTAATTTTTCTTCAATGTCTTCAACTCCAGTAGTAGAGGCTTTCGCAGGCATCGAGGCGCCAGGGGCTGGTGCAGCAGATAACTACAACGTTACGAAGCGACAAAGTAGTTTTGTTACAATTTCCATTCATTTTAGGTATAAAAATTTAAACTAGTGCATGACTAATACAAGAAGGTAATCATTCATTACTACTTTTAAACAACCTTGGCTACAATCGACATGCTAACATAATATACTACATGTATACAGACCTTGCCAGATGTTTCAATACCAATTTCATCGAGAACTTGATTGACGATAGCGTCTTGTTCCTCCTCATCTCCAGATCCATCCAGTACAGAATCAAGTGTGTCATTTACTATTATAAATAAATCAATGATTGTAACAATTAATTCGATAAAATACTAGCGCATTACATGGTCTAACCAATAAATAAGTGACTATCTGACAGTGCCATATATGCACTTTTGAATGCTTACGCAGTTCATCTGCCATATCCATTTTGGCGGTTTCTCTCTGAAAGTTTTGTGTCGTGGCTTGCAACTCTTTTAGATTTAATTGTTTATTCATAGCAGTCATAGTCTATAAAATTATTGGAATAGAAATGATCAAAAATTCGGAAAGTAATATCTGATTCAATTCAGATAACTACCTTTGATGCCGATGACATAGCTGAAGCCATTTTCATATTAGACTGTATAGCCTTAATTAAACAGTACAATTGACATATTAACGTGAAGAACAGATTTTGATAATTGATTTCTGATTTGTTAAAATTAACTTACTGCAAGTAATTGAGGAAAGTAACTAATATCAATAATGCCCTATGAATACCAAGCCTATATACGAGTATACGTACAATATACTTTTACAACATTACAAGCTAACCTGAGTTTGGTATCCTACTGCTGCAACTTTGGTTTGAACTCCCAAGGACTTCGCCTTCTGTTTACGTAAATTAAGCAACTGTTTCGCCAAAGCTGTAGCCGCCTAAATTAGTAAAGTAGCAATTAACACACAAAATCGTATGAGTAAATTAAATGAAGTATACGCGTATATGAAAGATACATATTTAATTACTACATGTAGTAGTACAATACAACGAATCAAGAATTATCAATGCCGTAGGATTAGGAAGAAATTGATCTACCTGTTTATTGCCTAGTTTGGCCATCTTCTTTATTTCGGCCTCCTATCGCAATGATAATTGAAATTTGATTACCAGAAGTATACGCTCATTTAGGTTATCAGATGTGACGAATATGAAATCATAAATTCACAATGTAATAAGCAACTTTATTATATTTACTATATTAATTTACCAGCTGCTTTTCTTGCCTCTCCATAGAATTTCTATCACGAGCCAGATCTCGTTGAACGCGATTTAGTTCGCGCTTTTGTTGCCTAGATTGTTCTAATGCAATGACATCGATATGGGTAAGATTTAACGAATTCATACGTATTTTTATATTTTGCCTTTAAGGTATCATTGTAATCAAAGCCATTTTAAATAATGTTAATGAATATATCGATCGATCTACGGTTTAATAATTATTCTTTACATTCTAATTAATTCCATCAATTAAAATATCTCATCCATTGCTTAATATCATTACATTGAATCGCTCAAAGAGCTAAGAATATCGAATATAGACTTACTGATATACATTCAGTGATAGGTAGAGATATACGAATAACAAGTAGCTGGACATACCTTGAAGGGTTGGTTTCTTGGAAAACATGTCGATTCCCTAGCAGTACCTTGTCTAATTCTATTCTGATGATCCCTACCAATAGTTATAATAAAAAGGTTAATTAGCATGGTTGACTGTAATCAGTATACTGTACGTACACATATGAACTGTAGGCTTTTAGTTAGGATGTGTCATAGATAGATAAGAAAAAAATTGATCTATCCCTAATTTAATTGTCATATCAATATGACTTAGTTTCATTTGGTTTTAACTTCATCAACTAGTACCATCCATTGCTTCTATTTTCAGTACGTGAGCACACAGTATCTTACACTATCATGTACGCTGAAAGATATCAATGTAGTTTACTATTAATTGCTGTTATTGATGTGAACATATTCGTATAACGTCTTACACCTATCATGTACGTCAACCGATATCAATGTAGCTTTGTTTCATTTGGTTCTAACTTAATCCATTAGTGACATCCATTGCTTCAATTTATGCGAGTATGTGGCATCTTACCCCTATCATGTACGTTACAAAGATATCGATGTAGCTTAGCTTTATTAGGTTCTAACTTAATCAAGTACTGCCATCCGTTGGTTTTATTTATGTGAGTATATAGCATCTCGATCACGTACGTCAGCCGATATCAATGTAGCTTTGTTTCATTTGGTTCTAACTTAATCCATTAGTGACATCCATTGCTTCAATTTATGCGAGTATGTGGCATCTTACCTCTATCATGTATGTTACAAAGATATCGATGTAGCTTAGCTTTATTAGGTTCTAACTTAATCGAGTACTCCATCCGTTGGTTTTATTTATGTGAGTATATAGCATCTCGATCATGTACGTCAACCGATATCAATATAGCTTGGCTTCGTTCGATTCTAACTTAATGAACTAGTGCCATCCATTGCTTCTATTTATACAGTATGAGTAGGTGGCATCTTACCTAATCACGTTCGTTAAAAGATATCAATGTAGCTTGGCTTCGTTCGATTTTAACTTAATGAACTAGTGCCATCCATTCCTTCTATTTATATGAGTAGATGGCATCTTACACTAATCCCGTACGGCAAAAGATATCAACGTAGCTTGGCTTGGCTCGATTCTAACTTAATGAACTAGTACCATCCATTGCTTCTATTTATACAGTATGAGTAGATGGCATCTTACACTGATCGCGTACGGCAAAAGATATCAATGTAGCCTAGCTTTATTTAGTTCTAACTCAATCAACTAGTGCCATCGATTGCTATTAATTGTGGCATCTTCCATTGATCATGTATGTAAGCAGACACCAACATTACTTAGCTTCATTTGGTTGTAAATTAACCAACACAGTACCATCCATTGCTCCCACTGATGTAAGTTGATAGTATTAGCACCTTGTCTTTGAAAATTAGTTCACGGTAGCGATCGATACCCAATATGACTAATAATGGAAAATAGTAGTTTGATTGCATCGCCCTAAATGGATAGTGGTGACAGTGAATTCGGTAATAATAATATCTATCTTGATCCTCTGCAGTAGAGTACATCATTGGTGGCAAATTACGAACCGAGATTAGTATTTACTACAGCTATTTCTGACTGTTAATGTACTCTACCCTAAGTTGATCTATGTTGAACAGTCCAACATGTGGAGAAGTTTTTTACTTTGTAGTGGTCCATCATTGGAATATGGTCATTAATTTCGTTTTGTTATTGTTTTTTTTTTATTTTTACAGCGATCATGTACTTCCCCAATTTTGTCGTTTTCCGGGGTTGTTGCTCACACGAACTTACAATGTACTATCATTGCAAGGAATTTTCTATGCTGTCATAACGTGCTATCCATTTGATGAGGTTTTCGCTTGCATTACTTTCCTACTCTGCCATCATCGACTTGACTGATACAGAATGATGTTTTGATTGCAATCATCCAATTCATCCTACTGCTCAATAGGGCTGATAAAAGACGCATTGCTGGTGCTGGTGGACTAGTTTTGAACTCATTTGAACGATACTATGGTTACATAGAAATTTCTCTGAAGGTTTTACTTACTATAGATCTTGATATTAGTTGAATGAATGCAATAGAAGTTAATTTCAAGCCTCCACTTGAATCAAATGGCAGCAAATGGATTAACTCGGTTGCTTTCCTCTTGGCTGTCCTTTCGTCTTTAGTCGTCTTGACTACGATATCGATCTACTGTATGACACAACCGAGGTACTCTGACCTGTATCGAGTCAAACACATCACTGAAGCTAAAAATAGAAGCAGACGTCATGAGCAAGGCTCAGTCACTCAGGGCTACACCTGTACACCTACACCTAGGCTACACCTGTACAGTACACTGTACAACGATCTTCATTCGTTCGTGTAGTTTTACAACTCACACTGTTCATGGGGTCTCACTCACTCAGGGCTACACCTGTATAGTGTACTGTACAACGATCTTCATTCGTTCGTGTAGTTTTACAACTCACACTTTTCATGGGATCTCACTCACTCAGGGCTACACCTGTATTGTGTACAACGATCTTCATTCGTTCGTGTAGTTTTACAACTCACACTGTTCATGGGGTCTCACTCACTCAGGGCTACACCTGTATAGTGTATAGTGTACAACGATCTTCATTCGTTCGTGTAGTTTCACCATTCACACTGTTCATGCGGTGTCAGTCACGCAGGGCTTCACCTGTACAGTGTACAGTACAACAATCTTCATTTGTTCGTGTAGTATTAGTGTAATGTATTACTGTTGTACAACTCACACTGCTCATTACTGTACAGTGGCCCTTCTCGGCCACCGTAGTTCATGGGGTTGTTCAATGTTCAGTCATGGTTCAGTGTACCGTACTGTACCGTCAAGGACTACTTAGAAATCCTTGACTAGTAGGGTACAGTACAGTCATAGACTACTGAAACTGATCACTCTTGGACGGACAGACAATCTCGGCTGCATCCCGTTCAAATCGTGTGCCAAAGCACTCTGTTATGACAGTACTTTAGTATACAGATAATCGATTCAAAATGGACTAATCCAATAAGTCATAATATTACGTTGAATCTTATCGGTTTCTAAGCTCTGCTTGGAAACAGTTCTATAACATCTATGATGTTATTTAAATTAATATCACTGATCTAGAAAATAGACACGGAAGATCCATTCTAAGCATCATGCTTTTAATACACAACACGCTAAAGACAGTAGCCATTTTACGACGGACTCATTTGTATTTGGTAAAGAGACGTCCGTCTGTCTGAGGGAGTGATCAGTCTAGTTCTTCTTCTATTGGTCTATGGTTACAGCAGAGACTTCTACTGTAAAAAAAGTGTACAGTATTGTACCGGTTTATTTTAATACATGCACTTTGATTCTTTCCTTTTCTTGAATTACACGTCCATACAGGATGGGACTAAGCTCAATCGATTTTGCAGACCTCTGCCAAGATGGGTACTGTCAACCAGTGCTCCATACAATCCTATTATAGCAGTAGTGTCTATAGCACAGTACTGTGCTGCACTGTATGGACGTATATTCTGGCATGGACTACTTCAAACTGGATGTCATAGAGCCAAGAAAAAACCCAGCTTTTTTTCTGCTACACTCTACAGTACAGTATGCTGGACACTCTATGGTACACTGTACTGTAGTTTCCTAGTGTATCAACACTACGGTACAGTATCAAGAAGAAAACTGACGGTACTATACACTGTACAGTTCTATAAGGACGAGAACCACTCTGCCATAGAAATACCAGTACAGTACAGTACAGTATCAGGGAGCAGGGGACCTATTCAAAGAAAGAGACGGGACGGCGGGACGGGACTGGCAACGACCCTTGGCTAAGAACGTAGAGGATGATTGTTTTACTGGTCATTTCAACTGTATCGCATGTCTGTAACGGTACACTATACTGTCCGCAATGGACGTGCAAATTAGCTGCTATTAACCTACAAAGTTGGTTTTGTGCAGTATGGTATACGGTTTCATCGGTAGAATAACCCCCAAAAATGATAAGCCTCCACATTATTTTCCACTGTGGTCGTTTCCTGTCGCGTCTCTATCTTTTTTAATACTCCCTGACCGTACTCAAGTGTAAAAAGTGCCGGTACGGCATGGCGTCCGCCTGTCTGTTTGCTACAGTCGGTTTGTTTTCTCCGATCTTTGCACGGCTCCCGTGCACTCCACATTACAGTACAGTACAGTATACAGTACAGTACAGTACATTACAGTACAGTATACAGTACAGTACATTACAGTACAGTATACTGTACTGTACAGTAAGGAAGGTACAGCACTGTACGGTGCTGTAGTGTTCTGTATGGTACTGTATCGGTTCTGTACTGTGCTAAAGACTTTTGAACTGAAGTAAATTGCACACGCGCTATTCCTACTCTGCCAAGATGGCGTCGCAAGTTTTCCGTGCCACACGGATGGCAGCAAATGTTCCAATTTCGCAGGCTGGACTAGCTGTAAGTCTCTTTAGCTCATGTCATCAATGTTGATAGCATAATTATCGAATCGTGTTCTTGTTCTATGTTAAAACGTTGGTGCTAAGATGTCCATCTTGGATTTCCTTATACTGTACTGTACAAGTTGCATCATAGTAGAAGACTTTTAAGCTGATGTAATATACAGTACTGTCATTACTTGGCCAATGCAAAAATAGAGACCAACTTGCTTTGAGACAAGTTCTACTTTTCAATATTCAATTTAAAAAAAAACCTGTAGTATAATGCCACTATTCTAGTCCATTGACGCTCTCGCCTGTGATATGCTAGTTTATTTTGGGGAAGAAAATTCTCGTCGACCATGGTAACCAATACACCTTTCGTGTAGTCGACCAGTCGAAAATGTCCACTGATAGACAGTCAGTCACAAGTTTTATTCCAAATCTATATCTCAGCACTTAAGGGGAAATTCTTTTAAACTTCATTCAAAAATCTCTTAACTATCTGAAGGATACAACTAAAAAGGATTACTTGTAAACTTCTTCACCAAAAACCGACTGCGCCAAGAAATGGTGTAGAGCTGAAGAGCTGATATTAACATATGCTGTGTTGCCTTTTACAGGTTCGATGTCTAAGTACGTCGTCTGTCCACTCGGATTTAGCAAAGGTAATGGAATAGATTTATTTTGACGTTATTAGAAGTACTATTACTTTTAATCTTGTCTGGAAGGAGATTGAATGTATAGAGGTATTGTAGATTGAACCTTTTGCTTCAAAAGTTTTTCAGTTTATGTAGTGGATAACTTGAGATCTGGAATACTATAAAATGATCTTGCAACCACTTGAGTCATGAGCATTTGCAAACTTGATTTAAATGATGTATACAAAGGCGAAACTGAATGATTTCGTGTTGTTAATCAATATTACTGAATAATCTATTGCTTAGTATTCAACTATTCATATGCAACGTCAATGTAGCAGCACTAGACTATACGATACTTTTATGAATGTGTACTCGAGTTTTTCTGACACAATTATCTTGCTCACTGTATTAATTGCAGGCACCTATTAAAGTATTTGGCGTACAAGGTCGCTATGCGCACGCTATCTACTCAGCAGCTACTAAACAAAAGTGCTTAGAAAAAGTCGAAAAGGACTTAATGGATATGAAGGTATTCAACAACCGCCATGATTACTTTTAGATAACCGGAATAGAGTAACGAATAGGACTGTCAATAACTGTCATCCAAATGATATTCAAATCTGAATAGCCATGTGTTCTATCATATTTGGATTTTCTAGCAATCAATTGATAGCGATATTCAATTAGAACGATTAATTGCTAATCCTTTCATGAAGAGACAAGTTAAACGAGGTGAGTGATTATAATAATAGCAAAAACTTTGCATATCAAATGATTATTTACTAATGTTACTGGACAAATTTAGGCGTTTTGGAGGAATTGTTGAGAAAGCGCAATGCTCATGAATTATCATTAAAGGTTTTCGGTATGTGTTTCAGTATTTAATACTTAATTTCAAGTGTTGATAGTAAAGCTATAATGTGCGGTATCATTTCTACTTTCTTATTAGGTACTCTTTCCGAAAATAATCGTCTTGGCAGTGCTTCCGAAATAATCGAAGCGTTCTCTCGTATTATGGAAGCTCATAGAGGCGAAGTCAGATGTACCATCACCACCGCTAAGGTAATTAAAATTGACAACTTATACTAAAGTAAGTGACTTTAACCTATCCTTCTAATAAATTTTTCGCTATTCTTGGTCTCCTAGAAATTAAACAATGATCAGCTGAAAAATGTTAAGGACTCGTTACAAGGTTTCATTGCAAAAAATCAAAAACTTCAGATCGCCACAGAGGTACATCAGTAGCCATAACTACAATGATAATTGTATTTCTTCCCTTGAAGTAGATAATAACTTAATCGTATTTATACCTATCTTGCTAAATGCTGGTTTCAAATTGTCATTCAATTGTCAGGTTGATCCAAAAATCATTGGTGGCATGATTGTCGATATCGATGATAAATATATCGATATGTCAATCGCTTCAAGAATTAAGAAAGTAATGAAAGCTATGAATACGGCCACTTAGAAGGCTGTATATGTTTATAAACATCGTATTTACCGTAAATGCTAAATGAATTGTACTATTTTCCATGCAGTTATATTTCTGCATCTTCATAAGAAACCTATGTTTTTGAATGGTACGAAATTGTAGGGAGGATGTTTATCGCTTCTTTTAATTTACTCTCACTTGTTGGACTAACCCAACAGCAATAAAAGAGTATCGTACGCTCAACTTTAAAGTTTATTTATTGTTGTTATTTTTACTGCATGTAAAATTCATGTAAAAATCGTTGCAGGAGCCAGTAACTGTATCCGTGTTGTCGATACCTTTTAAATCATAATATATACCCAGTGAGTACCGTACTATTACACATTTGAACTAGCATTAATTGCCCAAGTTAAGATAAAGTCATAGGATAAATTCAATGGTATGACAGGTACTATATAAAATAAAAGCTCTAACAATAATTTATAATTAAGAAAAACTGCAAGACAAAATTACATTTCAACCAAAAGTTGATTCGTCCAATATGTAGCGTCTATGTTGCCTTTTTGTCAAAGAGTATATCAATGAAGATTTACGGAAAAACTATACAATATTACATTTATGCTATAATTGTAAATAATTACAAGTTTAATGGCTTACAAATCGATCACAAACAATGTTGTTACAAAGTTTATTTTTTAACTTAAATTCCATACTTTAATATCGACAAGTCAAAATTCAATACTACCAATCTAATGAACCGAGAATTTTATTTTCGATTGTTGTCGCAGTCTTCAAAGCCTTTTCTGCATGTTTTTTAGCAGTATCTATTCTATCACAGTTGTTCTCTGCAACCTCTCTAGCTCTTAAAATATCCTTACGTGACATGATTTTGGCGGTGTTTAAATCATTTATTTTCTCAAGTAATTCTTTAATCTCATCTTGTCGTTTGTCTAATCTCGAATTTATGCCAGGGCACAAATTTGTGATTTTGTTAATAGCCACGCTGACCTAATTTAAAAGTACGAATGTTTTATGAAATGCTGTCTCGATATTAATTCCATTATCGATGCGTGTAAATCACTTTCGTTATCTACGTACTTCTGAATTGAAAATTTTGATCACTTTTCTTTGCTCGGCGGTTGCACCTTTATTGCTTTCAGACAATATCAGTTGAATTAATCCGCCATCTTGATTTGCCTAATACATATAAAACCAGCTTATTGTCACAATTTAGCAAATTTATATGCACTACGTACGAGCTGAAAAACTTAATGAGTTTGTTAAGTACTTCAAAATGACTCAAAATTAAATAACTTACTTCGATATCATTATCTTCGCCAATGGTGGTATCTAAACCCTGAAGGCATTCTTCTATTGGCGCTTTAATATCTGAAATTGCTTTAGCTGTCATACAAGCAGCTCTAAAATTGTATAATGAATTGCTAAAGGCCGCACTAATTCCCACCAGCAATTTCATAGACATGTTACATTGCTCAAATTCGTCATCAAACTAAATAAATTAAAGATAGGCAAAAAAGTACATCATAAGAATTATCTAGTAAGTATAGTAGATACTATTACAGAAATTTCACTTTTACATTGACAATTTTCGTTGATGTAAGGTGATTATTACTACTGAGCTAAACCTTCAAAAACGGAGGCAGTCTCATAATAATCATTCAATATCATCATAGAGCAATACGGATAATGATAGATTCTAGATATTTTAACACTATAACGGTAAATTCATAATGTCTGTAGAAAAATTTAATCACTCTTAAGGCAAAACAATAAAATGGAAATGCAATTTCGGTATTTAGTATAGTATTTTATCAAGATATTTTACGAGATGTAAGAGACTGCATATCAACTCTTTAAAAGTTAGCAGCAGTCGCCTTCCATGCTAAATACTAAATAACTTTAGCCAAAATATTACAAAACAATTTGTAGAATCCTTTTGTACAATAATTAATAAAATAACAGAATGAAGTTATAAAACCTTGAATCAATTAGGCGAAAAAAACTTATGCTGAAATATACATACTCGTATATCCACTGTTTACTAGCAATTATGATTACTACAGATTTATACTCGTATTACTAGTAAGAAAACTTTTTACTTTATTATAGTACTATTTAGTAATCGTATGCATGTTAATTTACTAACCTCAGGCATGCCAACTACTGCCAGTTTCTGAAATTGTTGTTCAGGAGGAATTTCTTTTTTATCTTTAACATTTTCCTGTAATTTTTTGCCTTTATTCGCTAATGCTTTCATTAAAGAACGCTTCTTTTCAGTAACATCTTGAAGATTTTGCTCTATTAAATAACGAACCAATGACTGCATTGCCGTATGAACACTGCCATCGCCACTTTTCGCCGAAACTGTCACGCTATTGATAAGAATGGAACCAAAATTATGAAAACAGCAAACTGTAAAAGCTACGATAAAAAATTTACATTTACGATTTATTATTACCTCCCGATAAAATCATTATCTTGTGCAATCTTTTCGAGAGTATGCACAATTTCTGGAACGCCGCCTAGTTGTCCCTCATGCAGCTTCGCTTCAACCTATGATACAGGATAAAGAGTATAATTAAGTTAACTATAAGACATAGATTAATGACGGCCACTTTAACCTATTTACTAATAAACTGATAGCTATCCAATACCTTATCAAACTTATTTCCCATAAGTATAACTGGAATTTTTTTATCAGATATGTTTTCAGCTCTTTTCTTTGATTGCATATCATCACCCAAATTATTTGTCTCAGTTGAGACAAACGTGTTATTAATAATATCTTGCTTCCAAAATTCGGCCCTCTCAACATCGTCTTTGTCGCTTAAATCGACTACCACTAAATATTACCGTTTAAGGATGGAAGATTAAAAGTAAATCTTAATTTAAAAGGTGGCATTAACACTTAAGAGATAAAAGATATATATCGAAATTTACCAACTGCAGCATCAAGATCTTTATAATAACTTCTCCTTAATTGCATATCTTCTTCACCGGGCATATCCCATAAAGTTAGCGATACTAATGTGTCTGCGGGTATGTTTAACTTCTTGGTAACATTAATGATATTAACAGATAGTGTGGGTTGATAGCTGTAGTCAAATTGATTTTTTGTATATCTTAAATAAATGCTGGATTTGCCAACTTCGCAACTACCTGTTAAGATAAAGGTGAAACCCAGTAATATCTATGTAAGTATTTTTCTAACATGTCCGCATACTGTCTATCGTTGTGTCTGATAAAAATAAATTACGTCTGATTTGTGATCACTTTGACTATTTTTAGGCTTTGAAATTCGTATTACGGGAGATGACGTAAAATAATACAATTTAAATATATTACTATTTTGATCTATAGACCAAAAGAGTTGTGCTATCGCTGCCTCCGTTCGATCAGGATCAATAACTCTAAAACATAATTAATGCTTTAACTTGACTTGCCATATTACTTACCGACAAGGACAATTTTAAATGATGGAACTTTCACTTTTAAATTTACTTTTAAATCTATAAGAATAAATTCATTTTAATTTAGTTCATTCTCTAGTAAAATGCAAGTGAAGGTGGTAAATAAATATGCCATTGGTAAGTATACTTATCGAAACATGACCAATAATCAAAATTACTATTACACCACAATTAACTTCAGATATTTCTAACTGTATCATTATCATATAACCAAACATTAATTTTATTTTAATTTTAAATCATAAATTTGCGCGAAGAACAACACAAATCGATAAATGAAGAGAAAATAACGATGATAAAATTTCATATACCGGGAATGTTCTTCGATTTTGATGAAGCACCAGACCCCATGATGAAAATACGGCTTGCAAATTAACCAAAAAAAGGTATGATTATGTACCGTAATTCTTAATTGTTAATGTTGTAGTTGTAATCTGAAATACGTGTTGATTCCGTGTATACTGATCCGATCTAATGAGCTAGAGTGGATTGATTGATGTTAACATGTTAAGTGGTTATTGGTTTTTGATGTGTTTCGGATTTAATGATAAACTGCGACTGTGATCGTCTGACTCAATACTTGTACAGTATTATTGACGTAGGAGCGTCTACTGGATAGTGGAGATTGAGCGAATAGAGTAATGTAAGTACACTCCTATACTGTACACTGTTGACTCACTGTATCGAATATATCGTAGAGTACAAATATACTAGAAATCAACTTTAAACAGTGATATAATCTACGCATACTACAGCTACACCTAATTGCATAACTTTAGCAGTAACTACGGAAATGTAAAAGTCCTCAATTGACTAACCATCCCTTCTATCCTTGATGGATGATCGTTTCTATGGAAACATTGAGGTCATACTATAAAATTATACTGTTCTGTACACAGTACGTACCGTATGGCCCATTGACTGTTGTTCTAGTCATTCGACAGTACAGTATACCGAAATCGGAAGCATTTTTAGCACAGTACTGTACACTCAAGGATTACAGTACATGTATTGTACTAAACTGTATGAACTGTATGAACTGTAAAACGAGGTTACAGTGAAAACTCAAGGCTAAGTACTGTACCGCGATTTCCTTTATGTGTGCATCTTGCACAGCTCTTGCAGTGCTCAAGCCTCTGCAAAAATGGCCGTGAAAGGATAAGCAAACTTCCGCTGTTCTACTGTATTAACATCCAGAATGTACGGTAGAATACTGATTTTTCTACATGCATTTGCCCAATGGTACGCTAGATGAGTAACTTATTTTACGATCTAATTGATGACTTTTAGTAACGGGCCTTTCTTCTACCACATTTTGGTATGAAATAACCTAGTTGATCCAAGCTGTCACCAGGTAAGCTGCTTTAGAGGATCTGCTATGGATTAGCTATCGAGGATAAGTGGATCCAAGTTTCAATCCATGTGCCTATGGGAGTTCTAATTGATTAAAAGCTTATACATTTACCCCCTCAGTTCAGGCGTAGAAACCAATATGACGCTTAATTTAAGATGCAAGGTGGTAGAACCATCCTGGAAAGTATTGCAACACTATGCCTCGTATGTGAGAAATACAGCTGCAGTGTCGCTCGTACGCCATCATGCGAGGTACAAGTTACGATATTTGAAGACGGGTAGACTTGACTTAGCAAATAATCACAAATTAGTTCAAGAAATAAGAGTAAAGATTTTTACTGTACTATTCTTTAATTTGAACTCGAATCAAATTGCCCTTATTATCTGGCTAGGTTATCAACATCAACTAACCTTACATCGAAAGCTGCAGAGGTAATACGTAAGCTTGATTGACACTGATGCCCCTACGCTGCGCTACAGCTTGATAAGACAATTTCTCAAATTACGCTCAGTAATCTCTTACACTTTTGCTGAAGATGTGCTTGCTTTTCTCCTATGCAATCTTGTACCTTCGAAACTGTACACTAGTTTTATGCACTATAGTTAGACATGCTACGATTAGGAATAATCATTCTTTAATTAATGTTAAAATAAGCTTTTATAAACTGCTGTCTCTACTGATATCATAGCCAATTACGGCTCTCTCTGAATTTCCAGTGGAAAAAATTCGCAATTTTAGCATAATTGCGCATATTGATCATGGCAAAAGTACTTTGGCGGATAGATTGCTTGAAATTGCAGGTAATATAGTTACTACTTACTAGTACTTATAAAACTATCAATTTTAAGCTAAGATCAGACAAGTATTCAGTTGTTCGTAAGTCTCCATACTACACCCTTACTGTATTACAGTTGTCATAGGTTTGTAAATGTCTGTACCATAATGAAATTTCATGCAAATCAGATTAATTTTAAATCATTCTAATTTTAATGATTCATAATACTACTAACTAGCAAACGTCGCGGCTGTATAATTTTGGTCATGGTTGATCTTTTTCATAGGAGTTATTCCAAAATCAGCAGAAAATAAACAAGTTTTAGACAAGCTGCAAGTAGAGCGAGAGAGAGGAATAACTGTAAAGGCTCAGGTGAAATGCTTAATTTGCTGGTTTTAATATTGTCTAAGTTATTACAGTTCAATAGAAATATTAAGATTAACGTTAATTTCCCATAATATTCTAAAACTTCACACTAATATGATTCATAGTTGATAAGGTCTTATATGTCATGTACGAGCAGTATTTGTGTGCTTGTGCTACTTCATCTTCATGGCTCTTCTACTACTGTATCTCATTAGACTGCCTCTATGCTTTACGAATATCACGGTGAAACCTATCTCCTTAATTTGATCGATACACCTGTAAGCTTAGTGTATTGCCGTTATATTTATGCAAAATTTCCAATTGTTAAGACTATTGAAGATTAACATGCTTAAAAGAGCGTTACTTTCGTATCAACAAAAATAAGCGCAAATAAAATCATTCTCTTGTTAAACAAAAAAGTGCGTGAAAACTAATAGCTTATTTTTACACAGGGCCATGTTGATTTCAATTACGAAGTATCGAGATCGCTTGCCGCCTGCCAAGGTGTACTTCTAGTTGTGGATGCATCTCAAGGTGTTCAAGCTCAAACTGTTGCTAATTTTTTCTTAGCTTTCGAGGCAGATTTGAAGATCATTCCTGTCCTTAATAAGGTTATTATACAAACCTTATCTCAAAATTATTGTAAATACTTGAGATCGTTTGATTAATGCTCCATTTTATCACTGATAGATTGATATGAAAAGCGCTAATCCCGACCGAATAGCTAATCAACTACAAAGAGTATTTGATATTGAACCTGAAGAAACTATGAAAGTAATTCATTATAAATAACTAAGGAGTTTTTCAATATTTAAATTGGAATCTTCGAAGGTTTAAGATAGAAGCTGTAATTAAATTACTGAAGTGCTATCAATTTGAGAAAAGGCTTATGTGGTTAAAATATGATGCATCTATAGCATTTTCAAACAAGGCTAATTAATTTTGCTCTTCAAGACAACAAATAATATCCAACAGGATTATTATTATAGATCCTACCCAAGATTATTAGCATAAGAAAATATCTCAATTGTTCTAGACAAATCTTTTTTTTATGAACAGGTATCTGCTAAAGATGGCACAGGCATTGATCAGCTTCTACCAACAATTATCGAAAAAATACCACCGTATGTTATGTGTTTTACTCTTGTTTGCATCAAATATAATATAAAGTAAAAAATGCATCGCCCATTGAAACAACTACAAAAATTCATTCATATTCGTTCTTCTCCATTAATTATTATCAGACCGACATGTGATCAGCAAAAGCCTTTGAAAGCGTTATTGTTTGATTCATGGTATGATCGTTATCGAGGCGTCATAGGCTTGTTAGCAATCAAGGATGGAAAATTAACAAAAGGTCTGCTTAAATGTCGATAAGTTTTAATTTTACCTGTATTATGTTGTCTTTGCTTAATTACGTATATTTAGCTCTTGAAAATTGGTAAAAGATAATTTGGATTAATTAATTTCCGTAGGCGAAAAGATTCAATCGGCTTTTAGTAAGAAGCAGTACGAAATTCTCGATTTAGGAATTCTCTATCCGAATGAGAAATCAACAAAAACATTGTACGATTAGTAATAATAGGATGAGAAACTGTTGTGATATTAAGTAAAAGTTACAATGTATGATATAGCTTAGTGTCTTAGCCATGTATCTTGTATTATTGGTATAGAGGATCTGGGCAAGTTGGTTTTATCGTAGCTGGGATGAAAAGCACGAAAGAAGCTCAAATTGGAGATACATTTTGTCATGTGAATTGTCCTGTAGACGCACTACCTGGATTTAAGCCAGCTAAATCGATGGTAGGTCCTATGAAAAGAGCAGTTCATAAGTCAAAACAAAATAAAACTGTTTGAAGATGAGCAAACAGCTTTACATTCTTGCACTATGCGATTGTAAGGTGATAATTGCGTACTAGCTTCAGCTGTTAACAAAATTTATAATTATACTTATTATAGGTATATGCAGGACTCTTCCCATTCAACAAGTCAGAATTTGAAGTTTTACGGAGTGCCATACATAAGTTGACTCTAAACGATTCCAGTGTTAGTGTACACAACGATAACAGGTACAAAATCTTTAAATCGATTCGTAAGCCAATAGCATCATACAGTGTGACATTTATAAAACATTCCTAGACTTCGGACCATATTTAAGTAACTTAGAAGTAGCTTCTAATTCTATATCTACTCAGCTTAATTTCTTAATGACATAGTAACTGTTACGAATATAGTCATCATAAGAGAAAGCTTCCGTAAAAGCTCTTTAATGTAGTATGCGTATAGATCAGTAAATACTATATTCATCATTTTACTTCCTAGTGCTGCGCTTGGCCCAGGTTTTCGTCTTGGATTCCTTGGATTATTACACATGGACGTTTTTAATCAGCGACTGGAGCAAGTTAGTTTAACATTTTATTATTTCTACAAGTAAAGATAAAGTTAACTTCGCAAAAATATTTCGTTTATATTAAATATAGGAATATGATGTGTCGGTAGTTATCACTTCTCCAAATGTTCCGTTCAAGGGCAAGTACAGATATGCATGTATAAATATCTTATAGACACAATTTAAGAAAATATTTACAATCTTGTTTAATTAATGGTATCTTGGATAATACTTACGTCATTTAATCATTTATTATTTCCTACGTAGCGACCAAGCATCAGTGGTTACTTTAATATAAAAAAATGCATATTATTATTTGTCCTGGATTGCAGTTTTATAGCTATATGCGATTTATAAATTATAATAGTATAGTACGAGAATATCGCAGATTTCAATGATCTCTAATAAATATATTTTTGTTTTATTTTATTTCAAATCTGCAGTTATCGGTTATGATCGCTAACATAATTTTAAAATTTTACTACAGCCATTTTACGTAAAGAACACGAAGAAATGGTTATAACCACGCCCTCACAGGTTTTTAACGTTTCCCATTATTTAATATTCTACCTGATGTCATGATAACCACGCATTGCAATATTCCATTACTAATCAACATTACATACTTGATATTTCATCATAGTTTCCAGATATCGCTCAGGTTGTAGAATATCTCGAGCCAGTGGTGATGGGAACTATCATATTTCCGGATAAATATATGGGGAAAATGCTGAATTTATGCCAGGTTTCGCGATGCGAATCTGATAAGAATTGCTACTCAATTGGCAAAAATATCAGTAATCTGTCTACTATATTTTCAATGGTATACTAATTCGTTCCTGATTGTTATATTTCCTTTTAGAGTAAAAGAGGGCAACAAGTAAATATTTCCTATATCGATGAAACGAGAGTAATGTTAAAATACATTTTACCTTTACACGAGATTGTAATTGACTTCTATGATCAATTAAAATCGCTTACATCCGGTTATGCAAGGTAACAAGGAAAAATTTACCCCAAAAATTAAATACTATCGATGACTTCTTCAATATTATTCATGCGTTAGGAAAAGGATGTTTTATTTACTTGAAATCGAAACAATCTAATCTTTACATTTCTCTTTCTGTATTCTCTCTTAATTCGTGATTCAGCTTTGATTATGAAGATCATGGTTATAGATCGGCTACTCTAGCTAAGGTGCGAAATAATAAAATAGCTTACAAGATTCGTCGCTATATGAGTTCATGTTGAAATATTGTAATTGCAAAATATACAGATGGAGATACTACTAAACGGAACTCCTGTAGATGCTTTAACAACGGTAGTACATGAGGAAAAGGCTCGTATTACGGGTAAACAAGTATGTCAAAAACTGAAGGAGGCAATCCCAAGGTATAGCTAATTATAATGATTTGCATCTATAAATATTCTTTTGAGCTTCAGAATGGATTCTCTTATTCGTCCATAAATTTAAAATTTTTGCTTAGACAACTATACGAAGTTGCGATTCAAGCTACAATTAGAGGCAAAGTGGTAGCACGAGAGACGTAAGTTCTGTATATTTTGTAAATTTCTGTGCAAGAATACAATGTATAAGCTCATTACCGTAAGCGATGCTATCCTTCAATCTAACCCGTTTGATTAGCCCATAAATTGTGAACGATTTCTAGTTCCGATAGTATGTAAGAATAATACAGCAGTCCGATACAGATCATTTACATAACACAGTACGTAACAGAGTGATAGGTGGCATACTGCTATTTCATCTTCCAATTATTACTGTTTCTTAGTAGCCCTCTTACTTTTTAAGTGTAAGTTATTGACAGATGAGTAACGTACATATATGTCTTCAAGTATCTATTGCTGTATTATAAGTCTGACTGATCATTAGTATGTCGTAGTGAGCAGATCCGGCTAGTAATCAATAAGAAATTATAACAAGCCTAATTATGTTATTACTATATTAGGATTAGAGCTGTTCGAAAGGATGTGACAGCAAAATGTGTAAGTAGATTTTTGTGGTTTTAATATCAAAAGTAAACCGCATATTCATTAGCCTATTGTCATTAAATAAATGCTTTTATATATAATAACGTCGATTTGCTAAATTCATATCATCAACGCAGTACGGTGGCGATATTACTCGAAAATTGAAATTACTCAAACGCCAAAAAGAAGGTAAAAGCAGACTAAAAATGATTGGTAAAATAGAAGTTCCTAAAGAAGCCTTCCTGGCTGTACTGAAAAGATAGGACGACGAAATGATTGTAAATTATTATATTACGAAATCTACGATTTTATTCGATGTTATTAATTTGAATAATTAGCAATTATGTGTTATAATTTTATGATCGATGTCATAAATATTTATAAGATATTGTACAAGTTAAACAGTTACCAAGCAGATATTTCTAGTTTTTAATTCTATGAAATCTTCCGGAGCGGTTCAAGTAATTTGAATTAACCGACAGAATTAATTGCTGAAGACAAATTTGGCATTAGATTATCTTTATTTGTCTGATGATACAATACACATACTACAGTAAAATTACTAATGGTAATACTATAAGAATAATAACTTGTGCGGCTTCATATACCTATTAGCAAATATCCGCTTTAATACGCGTACGCAAAGTAATGAATCACATAATATTTATACGAATTACGCAAGTATGCTGTCATATACATAGAGTAAATTTTACAAAGAGATCAATAAATAATTATAACTTTTGGCCACAGTTTGTGATAATGTGCAAATGACACCTGTAGCTATCTCATATAATGTACAAAGCAATATACAGTACTAGATTATGACACATTAAACACCCTACAGTACTAGAATTCACTGATATTTATTTGTAACTAAGGTACAGGGTCCTTGTTGATCATTTACACCAATATCGCACGCTATTTTAAAGGCTTTAAAGGAATCGGGATCGACAATATCATGGAGGTCACAGTGCGGTTCATATTTTTCTGTAATCCTAGTTGAGAGTAAATCCATTGATATAGTCAATATTAACATTATCAAGTCTTAGAATTATAAAAAATATTTATATACTTGGTGTAGGAGCCTTCCAATGCCGAATCACCCAAAGGCGTAGCACTTATGAAATTTTCAACGTGAATGTACCTACAATAAGTATAAGATCAGACAAAGTGATAGAATTTAGTTAAGCAGCATATCAAAACAGAACTGACGTAAAGTTGTGGGCAAATCATAAGAAGTACATTTTAATGAGCAGTCCACAGTATCTACGGCTAGTCCAGAAGGTGCATAAATTATATTAAGTAAAATTCACCTTTCCATTTCCGACACATCTTTGGGTGGTAGTTCCTGTAATTCCGCTTCATATAAATCTTTCTTGTTCAATGATGGCGTTCTCTATGCAAAACATATAATAACAATTTAAGCACTTTTAAAGAAAACATCAAATATCGTTATGCAATTCCAAAAAACTATTTACCTGCAAACTTGCTGTATGATCTCGATGACGGACACTATCTCTAGTTGCAGATGTAGGCATTGGTTTAGATTCTTCGTCGCTACTGATTCTTCCATCTTCATCACTACTACCTTCCTCATCAATCAGTGATGGAGTTCCAGCAACATTTCGAGGAGCAATCTTATATTTGCTACGAACGCGTTTCCAAATACAGACATAATACTGATAAATGCTAATATGCAGATAGTCTTCAATTCAATTATGGTTCATATCATCTTACCCTTTAACAACTGGCTTAGTACTAGCATAAGCAGTAAACGGGTGTGGGTCAACTACTGAAGGCGGCGCGAAAGTCCTAACAATTGCAGTGTAATTTTGTCGTAACCAGTATTAGTAGAGGACTAATTCAAAAAAGAGCGTCAGTTGACGGCGACAAACTGAGAAATGGTACGTGTAATTTAGAATTTTTAACTTACTTGCGAGTAGAAAAGATATAATTTCCCCAGCACCATTCCAAGGAAGTATAACTGAAAGGTCGATAAAATTCATAAAACAGGTCATATTTTTCGCTTTTATCTTTACGCTTCTCAATTTTTCGAAAAAACTCTAGAAAGGTATATTAAACGTTAGCTTGACATGAATACAGGTATTATTAAAAGAGCTTATTATTTAAATTACAGTATCGACAAAAATGTAATGGTATAAAAGTAACTGTCTTACTCATTCCATATGGATATGGCAAGTAATCAAAGACTTCTCTTTCAAGCCATTGAGTATAACTGTAAGAAGTAATCGGATAAGGTTAATCCATTTTTATCATCTAACAAAATCGATAGCTTAATGACAGCGAATGGAAGCAAATCCAATTTATAATTATTAATTTAAACCTAATAATAACGGCATATGATTTCTTTTTGGGCTTGTTATGAAGGTGGTAGTCACTACGTAGATCCCATAAACTTTCGGTTTCTTCCCATGGTCTGTATATTCCCAAAAATAAATTGATAGAATTCTGTTTTTCGACATCTGCAAGTAATATGTAAGTATTGTAAGTGCAGATACCGTAAGATAAATATTCTGTAATAAATTACAAGCAATCCAATAAATCGTTTACCTGTGAATGAATTACTGTAATATCTTGAAATAGACTGTAAAATGTCCTTAGAGCGAGAAGACCAACGTGAAACTTTCCTGTACGATCGTATCCTTAAATAGGATCATATTGAAATGAATTGAATAAAGAAACTAGATACGATCCTTGATCACATTTTGAATGATAAGATCACTCTATCATAATAGCATACTGAAATATAGCCCAAATCGTACCTGTGAACCAATTGTGAACCGCCGTATTGCAAGGCAAGTGTATCTCCTTGTGATTCATATAATTCTTCCAGTAATCTATCATAAATATCAAGCAAAATATTAGAAATGATTGTTATAAATATAGTTAATGTAGATTCCTACGTACTTGACCGCTGGGGTTTCAAATTGGATATCTAAACTATCCAAGATACCTAAAGAATACAACTGTACTGCAAGAATTATTTTTCCAATCATAAACTGCGCTGTATTCGTTCTATCCAAACAGTCCACGCAATTTAGCCGTAAAACACCAGTCTATTCAATTACACAATGAATGCAATAGTTCAAGTTAAACATAATCAATATATTCAAGTTAAACATAACCAATTTATTACAAGTTATTAAACAGTCTAGTTAATGTTTCACCTGTAAACAGCCTGAATCTGAATATCCATGACCATATTGGCTCTTCCTAAATAACATTGAAATTTCGATTGTATAACGCTTAATTAAAAATATGCACGGTAACTTTCAATTTTTTTAGGTATAGATACTCAAACTTACAAACTATCACCAAGCATCTTATGAAAGTGAAGTTGAGGTCCACTATGGAAGAAACCGGTTTTTTTGATAGACTAGATCGGTAATGATACAGTAATGGAACATTTTTATATCACGATTTATAATCATGGCCAAGTTTTGTTGAAATAAACAATTTTAACTCTGATTACTTCTTCAGCAAATTTTTCCAACCAAGAAATAACGGCCCCATCCTTCCTAAATAATAAACGACAACAAATTACATATACTCAAAACCGACCAAGCTGTCGTTTCGACAGCCAGATATCTCTTAGTACAATAAAATGATAGTACATAAAACTTTTAGAAACTGATGAACTTAAAGTTATACTAACATACCGTTTAGATACACGCGACATATCCCAAGCTACGTATTGTATTTTATGCTCATTGGGCAGAAATTGATTTAAATATTCGATCGTAGTTTCTAGTTCATTACTCAATAGTGACTCAAAAGGCTTTTTATCCTTTTTCTAGAAATACCAATTCAATATGTACAGGCAGGTTAGTATTCATACCACTTGTTCAGATATCAAAGAACCCCTACCTTGACGAGGTTCAAAACAACTATTGGAGCTCCATAGTGTTTTAAACAGAAATTGAAATGGTGTCCAGCAGCTACTGCATAAGGATCTACTCTATCCACTGCATAGATTTATAATAAAAATAGTTCTATATATCGTTATACAGTCAACAAATACGAATATCATACTCTAACGAGCATTAGTACCGCTGCAGCTTTTATTCCATATACAATATCGATAACTAACTATATAACAAACATACGATCACTGTATTACGCACACGTAAATCGCGCAATATCAACAACTCCTTACCAGATATTGGTGGCTTAGGAGCCATCCCAGAATATACCTACAGTAGGTTTGAAACGAACATTTAACATTGTTACATGTCGCAGGTACTTTTACGTCTAGCAAACAATTACGAATTATCTTTAAACACTACGCAATTTTTTGCTACCTGTGACCAATATGCAGGAACGGAAGCACGTAGCTGTACATACGATGTGAATCGGCCACTTTGCAGAGACGTTACAATGGTATCGAAAACAATCTGTTCCGTTTCGACGTCATTGGCTACATCACCCTAACAGGATATAATATTTTATCTAGCAATTAAGACGCCATCATCAATAGCTGTAGCAGAGCTATTCATATTTAATATAATAAATTAAGTTGAAGACTGCCAACTTGCCTCATCATTCATTCCTCTTTTTAAAAATCTTGTACCTGCATATTTTCTGGATCTACGCGCGATAAGGGTTACATATATTGAACGGCCATATATAGAAATATCTAAAACATTACATGGACGCAAGCGACATCATCTTAATAACTTTTACCGTCAATATCATTACCTTAGCAAAATTTCAATAAAATAATAATCAACTTTACCTGATTGAGCTACAAAGCCGTGAATAACATGGAGAATCCAATCAGGATGAAGCTTGTGCTCTATGCCTGATAATAAGTACTTATTCCAGATAAATTTAGAACACGGTACATGCTCGCTTTCTGCAGTTCTTGATGGATCAGCGTTTAACTTTGATGCAGTCATGTTGTATTGTAAGGTCCTGGTAATATCATAGCTATAACTGAGATGATCGATATTTAGTAAGTACAAGAAAACAGTAGATAGCGGATAAATTGTATTGCAGTAATCAATTTTACAAAGGAAACATATAATTTAAATAGTTTTCCCTAAATGCTATTCATTAAGATGTACCTAAAATAAAAGTTGCTGGATAAATCAATATCTTGAAACGCTTTACGATATCTATTACGTAAACATGACGTGATAAAATAGTTCAGTTTCAAATATTCAATCACAATGCACAAACTTGCATTATTGTTGAAGACATGAAATTAACTGAAAAATAAACGAACTTCGTCTCTTCAGAGCGATTATTACGTTGATCGGTAGGTATATAGACCATTTTAGTATCAGCAACACAATAAACATAATGTCCACCAATGGTTGCAACACTAAAGTGTATTTTGTGCAAAAGAGCGAAAATGCACTTTATTAAGAAAGTTTTTATATAATAATTAAGCTATGGTAGTTGATAAATTTGTTTTATGGTCCTCAAATTGTAACAACTTACCAAGCCCTTTTTGTAATCACTATAATATAATAACCTTCCAGAAATCTGACAAAGCCTATTAGAAACCAAAAACATACTATTATGTTAATTGAAATCGTTCTACAAGACTGATTTCTAGAAATGTAGCTTTCACTCTACAAAACTTTTGTCAGATTATGAGTAACAATCCATGTAGTTGTTAGCAACATCCATCAAGAGGTATGTAAAACACTGTTTCAGAGAGTTCTGTCAATTCTAACATTCATTACCTAATAAGCCATAAGTAGAGGTAATATGGCGCACAGCACCTCCATTGCGATGGCTTTTTTCGTAAAAGAGTTTTAATTTGGTGTTCACTTCTTTAGCATTATAAATCATCTAATATGAGTACAAAGATAATTAATTCTCGTGAAGGCTTTATATAGTCATCAATGCAGTGTAAACGTACATGCGTAAGTAATTATTGCAGCTAATTACAATTAGTTCTATTTTAGTTCTACCTGATCACTCAATTTTACAACTCTATTGCGTAATATAGCCAGCATTATTTTGCTACAATAATGACAGTTACAGCATCGTAAAATAGAGTCATCAGTAAAGTTGAGATCATTTTATTTGCAACAAAATCTAGCCTACATTTTGACATACTGTATATTCATTTGTTCGTATGTGTAATTGTACTCTTAATACTATACTATATGTATATTAGCGTAAGAGCTACTGGAAGTTGCTACAGAAGTACCGATATAATAAGTAGACTACAGTCCAAAAATAGTTATTTTAGTTCAATTTTTAGTTCTGCCTAATCACCTGTACTTTATTGCATCATGTAAAAAAGCGATGCTATCACAAGTATCTATCCTACTACAGTAAACTACAGCAAAGTAGTCTCGTTATGGCTACTCTATTAGCAAGAAATATTGCAGCTTGATTATAACATTTCTTTAATATCTATCCCAAAGGAAACGCACTCTCAATCTATGCCATATGTGAGTACTAAATATACTAGCAACAAAACGTCCCAGCATAACCTCTACTGTCTACTGATTTTTATTACATAATCTAGCCCAAAATTATATTATCATAGTCCGTCTATCAGTATGAGAGTAATCTATAGCCAAGCAGTACTAGTTTAAGTTAAGTTGTTGTACTAGCAACAAAACCTTGCTTATTGATATTTATCTCTATGCGACTAGGCCGCAAAGGATAGTAATAAAGTTATTCAAGACTAGCATTCCTTGGTAAATACATCTAGATTGTTATTTTCATGATAAATACTTACTCCATCAACATGGATTGACAATTGAGTAGCAACTTGTCTATCAATTTTCATCATACGGAAGAGAGTTTGATCGTTGTTGGAGATGATATAGTAAAAGACCTATGCATCGCCGTAAAAGGAATAGAGAATGCAATATCATAAAAACTACGGTAGGGAACAGTGATTCTGCTCTACAAATATACTCGTATATTATATCATGTTACTTCTTATGGCGTAGGAATTAAAAATGGGAATAATTTATTTTAATAGATTGATCACACTGCAAGCATGATTCCACCTTATCACGGTAAAACTAGAGCTGCTGTTATTATTATTATAATTAATTATGACTTTCTCCTAAACTATATCAAGAGTCTACAGTATACACGAACGATCATCCATTTGCAGTATCTTTGCAGAAAATGGGACGTATCAAGCTAGGTTTTACTTTACTTTATTTACATTGCTTAATGACTAATCAAGACTGGCGAATAATGTCTTGGATAACAAGTAATAAAATTAAATATCCAACATTCATTAAGCGATCCTATCCTCACAAGATGCAGTCTCACTTATCGCCATGTTTACTAACCTCATGACCTTCATACAAAGCTCCATTTTGGAATGTTCGAATACGAAAATGGTCATCCATCTTCAATCAGTTTTTGAATAAGATCAAGTTGAGCCAAAGGGATAGTCTAGACTAGACTTATGATTTGTAAATAGTAGACAGAAGACCAGTAGTATTTTTTCTACCCTTGATGGCAAAAGTAACACCAGTGGATCACATCGAATTTGGATTATTGCGATGGCGCTACTAATTGCCACTGCAGCTGAAAATTGATCGATATAAGCTAAAACATCAATGGTTGATCATTTTGAGACCAGTTAGAATCGAGTAAAGTCTCACCATAAGTCCTACTAGTCCAAGAGAATGATTAAGAAAGTAAAATTGCAGCATGGAAATCGCTTTTCTAGCCTGCTGCTCTTCTAGCTCGATTGAGTCAACATGAAAGTGGTGCACTACCCCCAATGCGTTGTCTTATAATAATACAGTATGAATCCACTGGAATGTATCGAGCAGTACATTAACATATTCGCTCATCAACGCTTAGTCACAACACCCTTTATCGCACCTATTTTATACTGAAATTATTACAATACAGTCATGTTCAGGTAATAGTATAGCAAAGTATAGCATCACAGCCTAATCAATACCAACTGCATCATGACCTAAACTCCGAGCGAGATTGATTGATATTATTACATGTATAATATTACATACATTCAGTCCTTTCAGCATAGTATTAAACACTTCCATAGCGCAATTAAATCTGTTAATAGGATTAGTATTTATGCTTAACGCAAGGGCATAGTATACAGTACTGTATATCCAAGTATTTATTGCATGGTAAACAGCAGCTGCACAACGGCTTGAGTTCCGATTTCAGCGTATTGCTAAACACTTCCGTAGAACCATAAAATCTGTTTATATGATTTGCATTTATGCCTAACGCATGGCATATCTATCTCATTTTCTACTATCAGTTAGTCCTTCCGAAGAAATATCATTATAAATAGCAGCTGTATAACCACTTGAGCTTCGAAGGAGATTGATTGACTAATTGATTGATTATATATTAGTAACATACTGTATATATACAGTATATATATAATTATAATTATATACGTTTAGTCCTCAGTATATTACTAAACACTTTCCGTAGAGCCATAAAATCTATTCACAGGATTTGCATTTATGCTTAACGCATGGCATATCTATCTCATTTTCTACGATTAGCTAATCCTTCCGAAGAAATATCATCATAAATAGCAGCTGCATAACCACCTGAGCTTCGAAGGAGATTGATTGATTGATTATATATAGTAACATACTGTATATATACATATATATATAATTATAATTATATACGTTTAGTCCTCAGTATATTACTAATCACTTTCGTAGAGAAACAAAATCTACTAATATGATTAACTTTTATGCTCAAAGCTATGGCATAATCAGCTAAAGCCCGAAATTCTAATATTTTTATTCTTATTTCGAATTCTAGCTGAAATATAGAGAGAGAATGCCCAGGTAATGTTCTAGAAAACGCCTTTTTTTACAATTATCATAGATTTGACATATATATTGACTAGTTATAACATGAAGGAATATTTTCTACGATTAGTTAATCCTTTCGGTGAAATATCGTATCTTGATTTTGGTTGGAATCCACCTATGCTAAAATCAGAGTAATAAATAGATGTATTACAGTACACATTTGTTCACTCTTCTAACTTTAGCGCGAATTGAATCCAATTAAGCAACACTCGATATTTCTCTGAAAAATTTCATTAGTTCATTATGGAGAAATGTTCCATCATGTTGACTAGTATCATCAACCTTTTCGGCAGTCGGTATCCGAACATTGGAATTTATTCGTATATTTCCCTCATTCTATAATTCGGTATACATTAATGCATTCAATCCTCCAACTTCAGCACGAATCAAATTCAACAAAGATTAATACTCGATATCTCTGCGAAAGGCTTAATTAACTCATTGTGGGAAAATGTTCCATCATGTTTATTGGCATAATCAATCGATCTGTTTGACAATTGGTATCCAAGTCTAGCAATAAACTCGTGGATTTCCTCGCTTACCAAATACTGGTCCAGAATACAGCACAGAGTTATTTATTTATTTCTCTATTTTCAGTGCGAATTGAATCCGACAAAAACCAATACTCGATATCTCTCTGAAAGGTCTAATTAATTCATGATGGGAAATATTCCATCACGTTTATTATTATAATCAATCGATCTGTTTGACAGCTGGTATCCCAGCATTGGAATAAATTCGTAGGTTGCCTGCATACTGTGATACAGTATACAAGCATTTACTTATCCCTCTAACTTCACCGCCAATACTGTAGAATCCAACAAAATCAACATTCGATATTTTTCCGAAAGAATTAATAAACTAGTCTCGGGGAAATGGCCCATCATGTTAAAGTAAACAATCCCTCCATCATTGATTACTAATAACAAATTGAAACATTTTCCCCACGATTAGTTAAAATCCATTCGAAAATAATATTTATCATGTATTAATTTTGTTGGACTTTATTAGCCCTGCAGTTCGAAGAATAAATGAATGTATTGCCGTATGATATGCAGGAATCTACGAGCTCAGCGCGAACAGGATAGATTTATACATAAATGATGAGTACTTGAATTTAGATTTTCCTACACGGATATCACGATAGATTAATTCATTAATTAATCATTTGGGGAGAGTTTAGTCTATTTCATCTGTTTTTGGATAATATTTGTGTTGAACTTCGAGGTAAGAGATAAACACGCGTACGCTTAGATAGTGTTTGAAAGTTGTATCTATGAATTCGCCATAGTGTCAGTATTCCAAAACTACCTGTTCAAGCCCTAACATTATAAGCGACCAGTGCCGAATATAGTTGAATCGTTGTTGGACAAAGTCAAGTCAATTCGCCAACGAGTAACTTTAAAGAAGGCCGAGAATGGCTTGTTTTAATCTTATTTTCGAACCGCAATTGTTATCATCAGCTTAGCGATACTGGTAGAGATAAATTAAAAACAAGAATGAACCAATATCTCTTTTGAAAATGAATCATTTCGTCCCAGGGAATGAACTCTAAATCGATGAATAGATGAGGTAGAGGTCTGCCTATCGTCAATAGCGATAAGCAGATACTGACCAGATGTATTGCTACTAAATGAAGCAAAATTGAGATGAACAAATAACCTACAGTAAGAAGGTTAGCATACAAGATTCTAACGCAACCAAGATGAGATAAAATACAATGGTGAAAAATTGTCCTTTTAATCCAATTTTATTCCTTGCCAGACGTATCCATTCTCAATTTCGGGGAAAAATAATAATGACTTATGTCCTATTGACATTTACCACTTTGCAGAATAAAATAGCGAATAGTGTTTGATATGTTGACGAGTTTGAATGCGATAGTATGGAATAGGACCATCATAGTGGACAAGAGTGCTCGTTCCCTGGGAATTTCCGTTGAAAAGTATACGCGCATAAGCACTTCCGTATCATCTTTCGTTTGATTACCTTCATAAAACAAAATGGACGAGATTGATTCAATCAACTTCAAGGCTTTCTTCTATTTACTAAACTACAATAGTAAACGATAGCCAAATCAAATATTGTCAGTAAACCTCTATCATCACAGTATGAGCATTGCCGATCATTCCTTTAACATATAGCCTAATTATAACTCTTCTGTACCGGCAAATTGCAATTGGCCTATCCTATTAGTAGGCTCTTCGCCATCGAACCTCTACCGTGATTGCAATGTTTATTGCCTAAATTTTCACTGCTAAAAATAGGACTCTTCAACACCGACATATCATCTATTCTGTAGTTACTGTATAGCCTGCACTGTAAAGCGCCAACTTTAGGGGATTGTCATAATATTATTCATTAGTCGCAAGTGATTTTTAACAACTAGCCAAACCCCACATACCCATGCGCTATCAATATGACTTAATAATTTAAGGAAGCATCACATAATAATGATAAGAGTAATTTAATGACTTTTATAAATAGGCCGCCAAACTTCTTTATTGGACGGGGTGGGGGTATACAGTCTACGCTAAGTCATATTGGCTGAGGTGATCATAAACCATGAAAAACTTATCCCATAAATGAACCATGAACTTCATGGTAACTTTGTAGAATTATCCTGGTTTACTTTATAAATTAACTACCGATTTTGGTTATTTTATAAAATTAATTATGATTTATTGGCTTTTATAAAGTAATTTGCCTATTACTTTGTAAAATTATTAGCTCAGTAAACTTGGCCTAGCATAGAAATAGATTACCTATCATATACTGTATAAATAGATATAATGAAGTCATGTCAGCCATAAAAATCATATGCCGATACGAATATTGCTGACATGGCAGAAATAGGCTAACGGATTGAAAACTTTCTATATTATTCAAAACGCTAGAATTTCTATCGTTTAGGTCATTGCCATTATGCAGGACGTAGTTTCAATTAATAGACTGATGCGTTTAGCCTGGCTTAGAATTATAAGAAAAGTTTGTGGATTCTAACTTTTTCCAATCAACGGCTGAGGTTTTAGCCATCGATCACATGTTGATGCCGATTCAATCCAAGTGATAGCCATAGAGTGATTGATTGACCATTTTTAAATCTCATTTCATAGTAGTACACTATGTATTTCATCTCAACGACAGCATTGATTATGTTACTCTTACTTAGCTCAACAAGGCATATGCAACCAGAATTTATAGACTCAAGCTTTCTTTCAGTCATCACCCGATGTTTTATTAGTTTACCTATTCGGCCGCCAAGAGATGCTACTATAAGATGCAAATGATAGATACCTACATTAATATGGCTTAATCATAGACTACAACGCGAATTTGTTAACACTCCTATTCAAAATCTATACGAGCAAGCATATAAGATTTTATCGACTTTGGGCTTGATTTAGCCTGCACAGTTTATTTTCCTTAGTGCCATCGAAGTTAATCGCGCTGTACTGTAGGTGCAACTATAGAAACAAGCATGATTGCAATTCTATTTTGCCAACATGCTCTCAAGACTATAAAGG